TACATGGTATTATGTTTTCCTCAAATGTCTGGAAAATTCTCCAGTGAAGCCATTTGGGCTTGGAGTTCTTTGTGTGAAGGCTTTTAGCTATCAATTCAATTTCTTTATTAGACATAGGATTATTCAGGTTATCCATTTCTTTCTAAGTGAGCCTTGGTAGATGTCGTCTTTTAAGAAATTTGTTCATTTCATCTATGTCATTGGATTTATTGATCTGAAAAAGGCTTTATTTTACCTTTATTTTTAGAGATATTTTCACTGGGTATAAATTTCTAGGTTAATGATTTCTTTCTTTCAAGCACTTTAAAATTGTCATCTATGATCTTTTGATTTACAAGTTTTCTGACATGAAGTGGCTGGTTGTTTTTGTCTCTGTTCCTCTACATGCAATGTGTGTGTGTGTGGGGGGGGGGGGGTGTTTTGTCCTTTGCTGCTTTGAAGATTTTCTCTTTATCACTGAGTTTCAGCAATTTGAGTATGATGTTTCTTGGTATGGTTTCTTTATATTTTTGTTTCTTGGGATTCATTGACCTTCTTGGTCTCTGAGTTTATAGCTTTCGTCAAATTTGGAAAATTTTTGGTCATAATTATTTCTTCGTGTATTTTTTTCTGTCGGTTCTTCTCTGGGATACCAATTACATATAACTTACACCAGCTGACATTGTCACACAGCTCACTGAGGCTTTTTTTTTCTGTCTTTTTCCTCTCTATGCTTATTTTCAAGAGTTTATATTGCTACATTTCCAAGGTCACGGGTCACTTCTTCTACAGTATCTCATTTGCTGCTCTTTCCATACAGTGTATAATTCAAACATTTTAAATTTATTTTGCCTCTAGATGTTCCGTTAGTCTTTTGCATATCTTCCATTTCTCTCCATCATATTCATAGTTTTCTTTAGATCCTTGAGCATATTTTATAAGACGTATAATATCTGCTTTGAGGTTTGTATCTACTAATTCCATCATCATCTCTATCATTCGTGGATCTATTCATACTGATAGATTTTTCTTTTGCTTATGGATTGTATTTTCCTGCTTATTTGCATGACTAGCCATTTTGGATGGGATGCTAGAGATGATAAATTTTATTTTGTTGGGTGCTGAATTTTGTCATGTTCCTTTAAATATGGATGCCACTGTCCTGGCATGCCGTTCAGTATCTTGCAAATCAGTTTGATATCTTCAAGGTTTGTATTTAAACTTTCTTATGCGTCTAGAACAGCGTTTATTTGGGAGCTAATATAGCCCCACTACTAAGGCGTGACCCTCTGAAGTCTCTATCCAGTGTCCCTTGAATTAGGAGGACTTGCCACTCTAACTAACAGGAACCCAAAGTGTTTCTAGCCCTCTGTGAGCCTTGTGTGAGTACCCAAACAAACAAACATTAGAATCTTATTTTCCTCAGGACAAACATGACATTAGAAAATAATATAACTTGATTTACACCTTTTCTCCCCCATTGATAAATCTTTGTCTTCAAAAAACTATATAAGTATTGATATTTCCTTTTCATTCAACCATTTGCCTTTATATAACTGAAAACGCAAATTATAAATATGAAAATGTTTAGTGTCACTAGAGAAATGCAAATTAAATGACTATCAAGGAGGATGTCATAATTATTAAGTTAACAAGTAAAACAAAACCCCCTAATGCTTGTTTATTTTAAATTCTCAATAATTTTGGTGGCACCATAGATTGCTACATGTTCCGGAAAAGTAGCTTTATGTACATCACAAGAGTCATAAAACTTATTGTATCCTTCCATCTAGCAATGTGACTTTTTGTAACACATTCTGAGGAAGCTTCTTGGATGCCTGCTTTCAGGCAGAACACAATCTAAGATGCCTCTGGGGAACCTTCGCCCTCCTTGCTCTCTCCCCTGCTCAGACCAAGGCCTAAACCAACCCAAGCATCACATTTGTATGGCCGTGTAGGGGTGGGGTGGGGAGTGGGGTAGGTTGTTGAGGGGGAGGGCAAGGGGGGGGAGAGGGAGCTGGACAGAGACAGAGAGAGCCCTCAAAGCGCGTTCTGTGTGGGAGCAGAACCAAAGAAGCAATTCTCTCAGAAAAAAAAGAAAAGTGCAATGGGTGTTTTTGACATGTATCAAAACCTCTCTTTTTGGAGAGAGATGGAGAGGGAAGCAGCCTTGAGCCATGATGTTTATAATACAGGAGGTGCCACCAGATTCTGTGCTCCAGTCAGAAATCCACGGCAAAGTTTGGGGGCTACGTTCTGAGAAAGCAATTGATGAAATGAATCACATCCACGAGAGGGGAACAAGAAAGAGTACGGAATTCATTAAAAAGTTGGAAGAACTGGGTATGTTCATTCTGTAAAAGACAAATCTTGAGGGGAGGTGGGAGAAAGACCAGAATCCTGCCTCTGCCCACACCCACGGCCCTCCCCAGGTCCTCCACGTCTGAGCCGGGCCGGTCTAATGGAACAAAGCACGAGCGTAGGATCTGGCCGGCCCAGCTTGAACGCCAGCTTGGTCACTCACTGAGTGCATAGCCTTAGGCAATTTTTAAAAAAACTTTTTCTGTACATCTCTTTTATAAAATGGAGATAATTTCTCACATTCTGGATGGTTTTGCAGACAAATGTAAAAGCATTTGGTAGGTGTTCAATAAAAATCTGTTAAATGAATGCAATTTCCAGACTGGTTGAACAGCATAAGGTGTTAGATTTAAGATAGAAATAAGGAAGATTAGAGCTATTTGAATGCCCCTGGATGTACTGAGCTGCCGTCTCTAAAAACACCCAGATACAGACTAAGCAGTTGCTTGGCAGGAATTATGTTTTAAAAGGGATTTTTCCCTTTGTCTATATTTTTTTCCATGTCTATATTTTAAAGGGGATATTTCCAATGTTCACTCTAATGCTAATTCTCTCTGTAACCACAAGATGGCATTCAAGGTTTAATCTTCGAGGAATAAAAAAGCAAGCATTCCTACTTAAAAATGCATCAAATGTGTAATTATGTAAACCTATAAAAACAAGGTTCAACTTCAATAACCCTGACAGGAGAGCCAAACATATGTTAAATTAATGTGTTCAGCATCAATGTTGGCTAGACAACTGGAGAAAAGGTAATCAGACGTAGTTATGCTGTAGGAAAATCACATATTTTTGTGAGTTAAAACACATACTCACAAAATAAGACACTACAGGAATTCAGAAATAATATATATTAACTCCTTAATTTAAAAGATGGTATAGCCAAGTCCAGAGGATATTTTATAAAAATGAGAAAGTTTTATGCCGTTATTTGATACATCACATGTTAATTTTTTCATGTAGAAAGAGAAAGGAACATTGTTTAATAACAGAATTTGAGATTGACCAACAAAACCAGAAACTTTTCCACAAAAGGTAGAATTGATTTGTACTTGCAATTGGGCAGGCAATATTTTTACATTTATGTAAAAACTGAAGCTTTTAATAAGCACATATTAATAGGCAGATAGGAGATCATTTAGTTTTAGCTTTCAAATATAATATGCGTTTATTAATAACTTCAGGCAAGTTGGTGAATGTCTTTGTGCTTTATTTCTCTCTCATTGGTAAACTGCAGATAATATCTGCCTCTATTTTTCCAGAATTTCTGTAGAGAAACTTAGGGGTGAGGATCCAGTTGAAAAGGGGGGCTAGGACCCTGGTCCTGAACCCGTGTTCGTATAACAAGGAAAGTGGTTTGTAGACAGATGTGTTGTGGCCTTGAAGGAGGCTCATGGATGTCCTCGTGGGCTCCACTTAGGGGTGTGGCTTCCACTCCCCGTTGGCCCAGGATTACACCAAGAAATGAAGGGAGAACGCCCAGCATGCAGCAGGTGCCTGGCCATGCTAGTCCCTGTTCCCTCTGTCCCTCCTGTGTACAGACACGAGCAGGATACTTTTTCAAAGCTACACAGAATGTAAAACTTCTCCAGAATTAATAACTTTTATTTAGATAACTTGCTGGCTGACAAGGTGGAAACTACTGGCATCGATCTTCCCATCACCACGTAGCACTCATTAGCTACCGAGTATGACATAAAAATAGTTCTGTATGTGCATCAGTAAGAACGTTCACAAGAAGAGCTTGCACTGCTTTCTAATTTTGTATGTCTATTTCTCCAGAGAAAATAAATTATGAACCACTGATTAGATTCTAGTTTCATATCCTTTCCCATGTCTTGGTAGAAATAAAACATTTGCAAGAATAGCTAAAAGACAGGCAAGGCAATAGGAAAGAAAGATCGGCCTTACAAACAAACACCAAACCAAATGAGCGACTCATGAATATTTATGAACTGCTTATAATAACAATAGGTTCCTATTAATACTAATAGAAAACATGTGTGAAACTTAAGAATTTGCATAAAATATTCATGACCATAATTTATATTTCCAGTTTTCAGTCACTGTTCTATGACTACACCCTTAGATGTCCCAAAATAGAACCATAATCTCCAGGTTAGAACGGGCCTTAATAGGAGTCAGTACCTACATTTCATTTCCCCTAAAATTAACTCCCTTCACGTTTAATCTCACTGTTCGGCAGATCATTCAGCAAACAGTAATGGACTGCCTCCCAGTTGCCAGGTGGCCAGGCTCAGTGCAGAGGATACAAAGCTAGACAATGGCCCTGCCCTGGTGCCTGCAGGAATGTCCACCGCAGGGGCTGATGAGCTGGAACAGAATGCTCTAGAAGGGGCGGGCACCCAGGTGTGTCAGGGACCCTTTCACCAAGACAGGCTGAGCTGGATCTTCCTGCCGTCCTTGTCCTCGTTCTGAAGAAGCACCTTGTGGCAGAGGCGGCGACAGGTGGAGTGGAGACAGGAGAAAGACCGTGCCCACAGAGGACCTAAACAAACATGGTCGTGATAGGTGCTGTTTTCTGTTCTCCAACCTGAGAAAATTTTACGACTTTTACGTGTTTGGGACAGACCACTGGTTCTCTGGAAAGTTGGGCACGTGGGCTCTCATCTCCCCCGTGCTCAGGAACTGCTGTTTATCGAATGCCCACATGTCAACACTACATGGTTTTATATGTCTGAGCTCATTCAAGAGATCAGATGCAGAACAACTCTGAAGGTCAGCATCGTCTCCATTCAACAGGAAGGAGCATGCTCAGCGTGGGGAAGAGCCCCTCAGGATCCATCCGACTCCAATGCCCTGTGTCTCCCCGAGCTGTTTTTCTTCCAAAGAAAGATTTCCCATCTGAAAACTGACGTCAGGCCACAGCAGAAAAAGCATGAATAGTAGCACACCTTAGGAGTACTCACTGTGCACATGACCCCTTTTGAAGTGCTCTACATGTACTAATTATTTAATCCTCACGATCTCCTTGAGAGGTAAGTATGGTTCTTATGGAGGCACAGAGATGTCAGACAACTCGCCCAACGTCACAGAGTAGGTGCCGGGCAGAGCCAGGACTCACATGCAGGCAGTCTGGCTCCAGCAGCCCTGTGCTTGAACACTCCGCATTCCACCTTTTAAGTCAGACCAATCCTCACTCTGGACCACCAGCAGAGATGCTGTGGCAATCTCCCAGGCAGGAGGCACAAAGTGCAGCAGAGATCTTCTGTCCCCAAACAATGGGGAGAAAGAAGAACTGGTGTGGCTGAAGAACCAGGTCTTGATTGATAAGGGGCGGGGAGGAACAGTGGGAGGAGGGGTAGGAAGCAGCAGAAACAGGTCTCTCCCTAACGCTATGCAGAGGCGAGGTTCTCCATTTGCATTTTCTGTTTGTTTATTTTAAATAGGAAATTTCAGTGCGAGAAAACCATTTTCAAATATTAAAAATAGAGAGATGCATAATGGTATTCTATTGCATGCACATCTAGACCAACGACTCACTTGCCTAGATCCTCAAACTTTTCTACTTGAGTCACTATTGAATTGACCACTTTATTATACCTCACGTATTTGGATGAACATGAGACTTTTAATAATTACCTGAAAAGAAGCTGATTCCACCATACTTTAGACTTTTGCATACTCAAATATTTATGTCGCCATAAAGTTATGCAGATAAATGTAGTAATTTTAAAAATTTTATTTAAATAGTGTTTTTTGACTAACCAACTGCAAGATTTAAAAGAAGCAAATATCATCTGATCTAAATATATTCTTATCAACCACCAGATGGCATAAGGTATGAGAGTTTTATTCTGATGGGGTCAACCATGCACATGATAATTTGACCTATAACTTCAAAATAATGTATTTGGGAAAATGTTCTAGCACTCAAACAACTCACGACTATTTCAGCCAGATGTAGAAGAGGCTGGATTAGTTGAAAGTGACATGGTCCAACTTTTTCTAAATTTGGGGGTTCTGTGGGATGCTCGCCTGGCATTACACAAGCAATCAATGATCAGACATACAAAGCAGTTCTGTTAAAGGGAATAAAAAAAGAAGTCACATCAAAGCAAAATTAACCTTCTAAGTAGGTTTCTTTAAACGAAACTTCAAATGCACCATCAAGAAAAAACTGTGCTTGTACTCCTTGAAATTCCACTTAATAAAAGAGTTTCTACTGCCTATAATTTATTCTGAAAGCAGGAAAGGCTCTAATGCAAAAGCTTTTCTCTACTTTGGCTTGAAGGAAATTTGTTTCAGAAGTCAACTGAAAAAAAGAACATGCAAGTGAAAAGCCCAACGTTAACTGTGCTGTTAAAGGGTAGGACAGCATATTTTAGGAACATCAATTTCTGCACAAATTCAAAATACAGCATATTATTTTTATTAGTCCTGTACTTCCATCTAGAAAACAGGTCACATTGCCAACAAGTCAAAGAGCTAAAAAATAAGTTAAATGAGCTAAATGCAAAAAGTAGGATCTTGAATTCCCCCAGCTTTGTGGTAGCACAGCAGCCTGGCCAACACCACAGAACCGAGACGGAATCTGCTCTCGCGTGAGGAAGCAGAAAGACTGCCTTTCGGGGTCAAGAGACCAAAGCAGAGATTAAGGTCCCTTCCTTAACGTGGTCTGAGGGTCAATGACTTCTGAAGATAGTGTAATAATTTATTTTTGCATTTTACTACAGACTTCCTTATTAGATGTAATATATTTGGTTCCTGAGGGAGAAATCTGTGGAAGACGAAAAGATATTTGAAACTATGAGAAGGATGAAAAGCTAATTGGTGATATATAAACAGGGCTTTCACCCCTATTTCTAAGTCATACTTTGATAAGGATAATGGGAATAGGAGTAAGAGATTTCATGGTGGCGGCGGTGGGGGGCGGGGGGGGGTGAGTATCGTGAGATTCCTTCACTGAGGCTCATGTCTTCTCTCCATCTTTGGCAGCCAATAGGGAGCAAAGATGTTTCCCACCTAGGTTCATATTAAAGGAAAAAGTGATACTTACTCTTGTTCTTATGTTTAGAAAAGGGCATAAGTTATTTCCAAAGGGTTTGTCCTGATGGTTCAGTTAGACAGTAGAAAGTGGAATGAGAGCTATTTCAAGATAGTCGGATAATATATTCTAGACACTTAAAATTACTTACTTTAAACTCCATTCTTTAGGATGTTTTAGCTCCATTTTCTTCCATTTATAATACTTTGCAATGAAATTTTGATCTTCAAACACTGAAATTAGAGTATTGAGAAAAAGGAACTATTAAAAACACTTTAAGAATAGTTCAACGTCTGAAATGATAGACTTCATTAAGTCGATATGTGGCAATGACGCACACTCTACAGTTCAAGTCACGTTACAATGCTTGGACACTTTCCAAATTTCTTCCTTTTATTTGAACTTTGTAATATTAGATATTGTTTAAAATAAGTAGATTGTGACTTTAAAACTTTTCATTATAAAGACATTTGTTTACATTTAATTTGTAGTCATGAAGAAGGTGTTAAAATAACTCACATAGAAACTGCAGACACCATAGTTTAACAAAATTCTGACTCAGCACTTCAAGCGGCAAAATAAAATCCTGGAGTTGGAAGCGACATTCCAGATCTTGATCTTTCCTAAAGCAAGAGTCTGCAAGAGATGGGCATCCAGCCTCTAAACGAACCCCTTGCCAACGACAGAAAACTCTCCTCTTTGTTGTTGGGAGACTGACTGTTCCACTGACAGTAAGGTCACAGTGTCGTTGCTTAATCGGAGTGCTGAGTTTCCACTCCTAGTTCTGACCTCCGGAGCAACACTGAGTAAATCCATACTCCCCGTGGGAGACAGCCCTTCGAATAAAGATAGCTCTCAGGGCAGCCTCAGTTCCTTCAACTGTTTCTTAAGACACGATTTTCTGGAGACCTAACCATCCTCACCATCCTGGTTGTGAACCTTGTTGATGCTCCTATTAAAGTTTGCATTCAGAATTGGCTCAGGGTCTTGATTTCATTTGAATAGCAAAGACACAAATGGGTTACTACCATCCTTGATCTGTGTGCTACACCTCTGCCAATTCAGCTTAGATCTGCATAGCATTTTCTGGAAATCACATTACACCGCTGGCTCATATGTTTGTGGTTAATTATAAACCTCATGCCTTCATTCAAATGCACATAAAATTTATTGAAAATCTACTATGCTTAAAGCGCTGGTAATTTTGACATGAAATAACTGTTAAGCCAGATCATACACACATATATACCTCATCTATCTATCAATCATCTATCTATCTAGCTATCTATCATCTATCTATCTATCCATCCATCCATCCATCCAGCTCTCATCTCCCTGTTCCTTATAACTGTCCTGGATTTACAGTCTCGAACTATTTAACCAACTAGATGTTCTCCACGGTCTTGCCCTTATCTGGAGTTTCCTTCTTAATAATGATGAATTACCCCTGTTGTCACTGATAGAAAAAACCATTTAAACTTAATAGTTCTCATTTTCTTCTATTAATATTACATGATTTTCACCAGCAACGTTCCTCACTATTCTTTAATTTCTTTTCTTGCTTCAAACACACACAAGCACATATACACACATATTCTTGTAGGGTTATTAATACTCTTTTTATTGGTATTTGGATATAAACTCCTCCCTTCCATTAGGAAGCAAAGCTGAGCTTCCCAGAGATCTTAGTGAGGGCTCGATATTTCCCGTAGGTGATTATAATAACTAATATTAGTAGAGTTTTTACTATATGCTGGAGGGATGCAGTATGTATTGTTAATACCTACTTTACAGATGAACAGACAGACAGAAAGGTGGAGTAATGCCTTCTTATTGGGACTATTCACTACTGCTTAGAAAAAAGTTAAAATTTATTTGAAGTGTCTATTCAAGGATCATTCATATCTTTCCTTAACTTTTTCAAAATTGCCTTTCCTACATTTTTTTTCCGAATATGTACAGCAGTCTCTTCTTTACATATTATAAAACTCCAAATGGCAAGGTCATCTTTCCTGAATAGTCCCATTAATTTTATATCATTGGCTCATTTTATTCCTCGCTTTCTCTACTCTCAGAGATGAAAAATGCCAAGCATTTGCACAAAATTTTATTGTAAAGCTTCCTATTTTACGCCTCCAATTTTTTCACTCATCTGTCTCTTACCACCTGACTGTAAACACCTCAGAAAGCTTATCATAATCCTTCTCTTCTTGTCTCCAACACACAGCCAACTGTCTAACATGGACGACGCTCAGTGAATGATGTTGATTGGAGGGAAATAATGAAGAAATGAGGACAGGAGAGAGAGAGAGAGAGACAGACAGAGAGAGACAGACAGAGAGAGAGAGAGACAGAGACAGAGAGAGAGAGAGGAAAGGACCAGTGAAATTTGGTCAGGAGTTCTTGAAGTTCGATCCCCCCCACAACCACATCTCGCCATAGGGTGGCTTTGTAATCTGTGGTGGGAGAGCACCGTCTGTTGCCTCCATCATACAGCTCTTTCTCCTTCTCTTTCTTCTGAGGATTACTGGCATTGCTTCTACTCTGTTCTTCCATGACGCATCTCTTGTCCCACATCTGTAGAGGTTGATCTGAAGTTTTTTTCCCACTGATGGGACTCTCACCTCCAAAGACAGAAAAGCACTGACTTGCCTCAGCATGTTTCGTTTCCACACATACCACCTCATGCTAACCAGAGAGCAACTTAAAATAGAGTGGAACATTTTTGTCAATGAATAGAAATGAAAAATGAGGTACAAAGAGTTAAAAGACTAACCTAAATTCTCTTAACTGTAGGCGCAAAACTAGTCGAGGGCGGAGGAGTCTCTAACCGTGGACGTCACGCTCTGCCCGCCAGAGCCCTTCTAACCTCGGCTGCACACTGCAACCACCTGGGGAGCTTCACAAACTACTCCCGCCTGGTCCTGCTCCCAGAGATCCTGATGGGTTGGGGCTGAGGTGGGAATTTTTACAGGCTCTGCTGGTGGTTCAGAGGAGCGGTCCAGCCTGAGAGCCAGTGCGTCAGACTTAGACAACATTGCTTTTTGCATCTGATGCATCTTGGAGGCGGGGTGCTGCTGGCTCAAAGCTCAAAGAATGAAGGTCTCCTAGGGTGAAAGTGAGCATCCCAGGACGCTTCAGGCTGGTAGGACTGTTTCGATGACAGCAAGCACACACAGGAAGCCTGCACTCACGGTTCCAGGGCACACTGGTCTGAAGGAATTCTCTTCCCCAAAGATGAACATTTCCTTATGAGGATCATCTTCCGTCATTAATGTGCTGTTGCCCACAACCACATGTGCTGATTTGTTCTCTGCCAAACTTTTTCTTTGCCATTCTGTAGTGATGGGCAGAGAACCGTGGGTCATCAGTACATTGTCCCATATGATTGTCTGTGACTATAAACTAATAATTACAATTATTGAAAAATGTGTTGCATAGACTTCAGAGTTTGAATTTAAATCTCAGGGTTTACAGAGAAAACAACTTTATATCATATTCTGGAGGCTGTATAGTATGAGAGAAAGAGTGACAAATGTGGAGTCAGATCTGGTTCCAGTCCTTGGGCCACAGGCTACCTGCAGTAATTAATAACAGCCACTCACTGGGTGCTGGGCATTCTTGCAGGGCTCCAGCCCTGTGAGGGGTATGCTATAACTATTCTCATGGTACAGATGAGGTAAATGGGACACAGAGAGGTTAAGAAACTTACCCAAGGTCACATGTTAGTAAATGGGAGAGGCAGGATTAAATCTCAGCAATCTGGCTCCAGAATTTGCACTCTTTACCAATATATAATATTCCCTCCTATATGTGTGACCTTTGGTAAATCACATACCTTCTCTTGGTCTTGGTTTTCTCGTCTGTAAAACAGAGTAATAATAATAATGTCTCGCTCTTGGGTTGATATCCCACTATGCATGACATATATCAGAGTGTTCAATAAATATTGGCTGATAAATGAATCAAAGAAGGATAAAAACAAAGGATGATTAAAAAACATAATACAGAGTATGCTCTGTAAACTGTATCATACAAGGACAAATTTACTATTATTACGGCACACATGACTATATAAAGATTCATGGTACAAAGATATAGAAAAAAGTTAATATTCAAAATCAAAATACAACCATTCATCACGATTCAGAAAATAAAAAGCTTTAAAAATATGCACGAGAGTTTAATAATCTTTCCGGGATAGGAATATAACTGTAGAAAACGAATTTATTAGAAGTTTCCCTTTTATTTCCGTGTAGTTGAAGAAGTGTTCTATGATCTAAAAGCTTCATCTTTATTACTGCCAGGAAGTTAGGCCGTTAAAAGAGAGAGGATTGGATCTCATCCAGCTGAACTATCCAAAGACCAAAAGGCCAGCAGCACACCTAAGGTTTACATTTAATTTGTTAAAATTAAGTGCCGGTTATTATTGATGGAAAACTCTTGAAACATTCTCATAACAAATCTCTGGGGGAAGGAGAGAGAGGGTGACGGTGAAATCTTGCAGCAAGGTCTAGAGTCCGTCTCAGAGTTCCTCTGGGCTAGAGGCAGCCATCGCCAGCCGTCGCCTTTACGGAGAGACAGGATTACACACGAGGTTAGCGACAGATGGAGAAACAAGAGGCACGTGAAACATTTTGGTGTCAAACTCTTTTGAAGAAGAAACTTCAGTCACTGGTGTTTCATTATTTCCTTCCGTTTTTTAATTGTTCTTTATTGCAAGCCAATCATTTGCAAATTTCCTTGAGGTTTGGCATGTAATTCTATTTTTTTTTTTCCCTAGCAATTTGGAGTTTCCAAGTGCCTCTAAATATTTACCTGTCATTCCACGAAGCGCCATCCTATACCACTCAGCTTGTTTTTCGGTTGAAGCAGTTGGACACTGAGTCGGTCCCCAGAGGGTGCCAAGTGCCTCTCCACACTGTGTTTGTTGAGGGTACCGCCCCCGGATTCCTTCTGAGCTCTTCAGTGCCTCACACGTAGTAAGTACTCGAGATGTGTTTGCTGAATTGACTAAGCAGTACACAACCACAACTCTTTGAAGTGAAGTAAACATTCACATACTCTGGTATCAAAAATAATAAAATTCTTTGTACTGATAGATTGCTAAACACTGTTTGAAGCAGACTTTAAAGGTTTCTTAAAGCACCTCAAATTATTTTTCTCAACCGCTAATCTACGAGTGATTGAGGAGGGGAACATATAAACACAAAATAATTAATAAGCAGCAACCTGAAGGAACATGTAATTTCTTAGAAGTTCTTGAGCTAACTTACTTTTTTGCATTTGTTAAACTTCGTACTACTTTTCACTCTAATTCGTGCCTTAAAACTAGAAACTTTTTGTTGTGATACTTTGTTCTATTGAAACAAATATGAGACTATCACAATGATGAGATGAAATTGGATGAGGCCACAAAGGAAGGCAGTGGTCGTGGGGGTGGAGTGGACAGGAGACATTCGTAATGTTGTAGGAGGCGAAATCACCACGATTTAATGAGGGAAATGAAGTCTAGGAAATGGCGGTGGACGAGAGAGAGAGTGGGTAGGGAGGACTGAATGAAGAAGGAGGAGGCAGAGGAACCCTGGGGAGGAAAACCCTGGACGCCGGTGCCACCTAGCTCAGGAGAGCACAGCCAGCCAGAGAGTGGGGAAGATGAGGCTGAGAAGCAACCACTGAATCTGGGAGTCGCGAAGCCGCTGGTAACTTCAGAGTGCGCCCCTGCAGCAGGATAGCTCACGAGGTCATATTTCAGGAAATGTGTACAGACTGGATAACCTATTTTGATCCAAATAATGAGACAGTATCTAAAGATTTGATTAAATGCGACCAGAAAGTTGTCTTGCTCTCCCCTCCTGTCTTTAGCTCCTAGTGTAGATGGCAATGGATAAGTCTTCCTTAGAAGGATCGAATTGAAAGCCCGAGGTTCATATGTTTTCTTGCTGTTTTTCTACTTAATTCTTAGCTTGAGGATAATCGCGTTTAGAATCAAAAAGATTCCTCCTGCTATGAAGACTTCTTTCTGGCGTGAAGGGAGTAAAGTAAATCTCACAAGACTGAGGACTTCATCTCTTACGCCTCCAAGTGCCTCTCTTTCCTTCTGGCTTCTAATCAGACTTCAGTCCGGGGCTCCATACAAAAGAGGAAATAAACTCATAGCTGTGGAATGATTGCTATAAACAGCCAACAGAGAAGTTTATCACCCGCAAATTGCAAATATATGTCAATTGGTCTTTGAAAGCAAGCCAAGTCGAGAATAATTAAGAGATTAATAAATACCAGAATCAGGCAGGTCATCTTACATGGAGTTCTGTAATAGTCCGTGGGCTTTGACGTGGCTATTCCAGACCATGTCTTGTAGTAATCGTCAAATGAGACTACTTTAATTGATCTGAAAATACAAATTAAAATCAGACAATGAGTAGTCGGCAAGTTTGATTTTTAAAATTACTTTATCAGAGTGGATAGTTTCAGACAACAATATCTTGTCACAAGACATTAAGCTGATTTGCAATTTCTAAGGAAAGAATCTAGCATATTAATTTCTCCACTAATACAAACAAATCACAGAAAAGAAAATCCATCTAAATCACTTTTCAATGATAAATGTAAATGTGCACCATGTGTATATTATAAACAGAAAACTACAGGTTTAAGATATCTGCCTTTCACGACTAACATTAAAAAAGCACTTTAAGGAAAGCATCATACCTGTATTTTGCTCCTTCCACAATCAACAATTTTCTCAAATTTCTATGCCAAAGTTTAGTAAAATCATCCTTATTTCCTTTTTATGATGAGAGGGAAATAGAACGCCAGAATTGAGATTATTTTAATTTTTACACAGACTCTGGCCATTTTTGAAGAGGAAGAAAAACAACTCTTCTAATATTCCCGCCCACACTTTTCCTCCCCTGTGCCAATATCACCATGTCCTCGCGGGACAGCAGAGGCTGTTAGAAAGTATTAAATGGGAACCCTGAAACCGTCTCTTCCATAACTGCATTTCCATTTTTTTCCTACAAACTTTTTGAAAGCAGAGATTCGCAACACTCTACAAACAAAACATTGCTTTGGGATATTTTCAGACGTGAAATCACCAATTAACTCGCTTAAATAGACACTTGAGAATCAAATGTAAAAGACCTTACATTTGTTTTCCATTTTAAGTCTTTGGCTGTTTGGAGCCAGCAGCAACTTTTCAGTTTTCAGTTAGAACAAGTATCCAGCACTAGCATTTATCGGTAAATTATAGGTCCCTTAAAGTAAATATTTAACTCAATTTTGAAATTAATGGGGCAATATCTACATGTGTTAATGCATTCATTTATTCAAATGATAATTACAGATACCTACTTTTAAGACTAACATTTTTCAAATGTGTTATTGATTTTGCAATCGTACTTAACTGGAAATCTGAAACTCAGTGCAGAGAAATTAATCACGATATTATTGCCTCCAGAGTTACAACACAGTGCTTTCTACTACTAGATGATATACTAAACTAACATTAATTTGCTAACGAAATGTTTCGGCTTTTGGCAATGAAGGTAACAAAATGAAAGGCTGCATTATAGCTCCTGCATGAAAAAGCCAGTGATCAATCTGCTGCCACAGATCATTTAGCAGACAACAATGACCCCAGAGGAAGGAAACTGTCAACACACTGTCTAGTGAAAAAAATACACCATCTTCAGGCACAATCGTCTCCATTGTTTTTTTTTCTGTTTGACGACGACCCATGACCCTCCCCCTTCCCAACGGTGTCCTGTTCAATTTCAAACTGTTAGCCTTCAGGGGCTTTCTCTTCTTTTCCCAGAATAATTAAAAATATCACCCTAAAAGGTATAACTTTAGTATAGTTTGAATATACATAGCAGAATGTCTTAAACATTTGGGAATATTTGTATTTTCGATTTTATAAAGAAAACAGTCCCTTAAGATAAGAGAACAGTAACTATTTTATCATTATTTAGATAAACTACTAAGTTTACAGGGATATATACAGTACAAAAAATACATGTGTTTATAGTTTCAACCAACAACAGGAATTTATTGAGTATTATCACTGGCACTATGAATACAAAAAAGTAGAAGATACAACTTTAAACTGAACATCGGAGCTTATTATCCTGTTGTGAAAATGAAATATCCCTGAACTGGTAAACAGAATAGCTCTATATATTAATATAATGATGCGCTACATCATTTAGCACAGACATCTGGAGACCACAGTGACAGATACTTTGGCAGTGGCAGTAAGCAAAGAGGTTGGAGGTGCGAGCTCCAACTTTGCTTCAGAGCCATTAGGGAAAGAGTCACCCGGGATACGGCCCTAAAGGGAGGAGGAGGCGTTGCAGGCATTGCGGGGTAACAGTATGCCCAATCGCTCCGGTGGGAAGGGGCACGGTGTGTGCACATGCACGTACAGAGCATGTTGGGGGAAGAGGTGATAATAACAAGATAATTGACTCCAGTGGACAGTTCCAATTTCAGAGGAATTGAAATTTGATAAAAATAGGTGAAACTAGGCAATGCAGGGTCTTCAAATTTAGGCAGAGAACGGGTTAGAGTTGATGTGGTAATCTTGATTTATTAGGTGATAGAGAGTAATGAGGAGGTCTGGAATACGGCAAGTAAATGGTGAAATCAGCCTTTGAGTAGGAGTTTTCTCTGGCGTTAGTATGTAGCTTGGCTTTTATGAGAGTAAATGCAGGGGGACCAGTTAGAAAGTAAATGCAGTAATTCAGGCAAGAGATACTGAGACCTAATACTTGAGTGGGAGCAAACATTATGAAGAGGGGGAGATGAATCTACGACAATACTAAAGAATTGACTGGACTGGTTGCCTGATGGAGTGTGAAGAATGAAGGAATTTGAGGGTCACATATTCTCCTAAAGCCCAGAAGACCAGTTAGCTCCGCTATTAGTAGAAAGCATCTAGAGAAACTCGAGTGAAATATGAGTTTAATTTTAAACATGGGTTGTAGGTGATGACCTCTAGGAGTGTGATTGAGAAATTGGGGCTGGAAAAAAGAGATTTGGGTCAAATCGACACAAAGGTTGATAGATGACATCATTAGGGAAAACAAAGTCCAAAAGAGTAAGTGTTTAGAAAAAAAAGAGCAGAAACCAATTCACAGTTCAGAGGAGCCAGTGAAGGCAGCAGGAAGGACGGTGAAGGGAAGACGAGAATGGTGGTGGTGCTACTTCATGGAAGCACCGTCCCAGCCCCAGCAAAGCTAACGACTACATCCCGACACATCTCCGGACATTTAGTCATGTCGTATCCTGACTAAGGGCACAGGCTCTGGAATCAGCTGGTCTGGGTCAAAACATTCTGGCACCACTACTTATTAGCTGCGTGACTCTGGGCACATTACCTAACCTCTCCAGTCCTGCTTCCAGGGATAAAACTTCCTTTTGCGGTGGTTGTGAGCCTTCAACAGAATCATGCATGACAAGAGCCAGGTAGGGGGTCTAGCGGCCCCCAGCACTCTGTGTCAGCCGGTCTCCTCAACTGCCTCAGTTAATAACACCTCCTCATTTCTCTCCTGCAAACTCTGAACCCAATTGCTTTTCTCTCTCTGTCCCTCCCTATTCCAGGTTCTCATGCCTCTGCTTGAAAGCCGCATCTGGTCACCTAATTCTATAGGAGGAAGTCTAGAGACTCTCATAGAACTCGAGGTTTTTCAGCATCTGGCCATGCCAACCTTTTCTTCCACGGCTCCTTCGCACATCCAGAGGCTCCATCACAAGGAGCTTCCTAACAACCCTGAGGGTACCACAGAGTTACACTTCTGTGCCAGTGCAAGCAGTTCTGTCCAGAAAGCTCGTGCCCTCTGTGGTTGTCACACTTCTTATCACAGATCCCGCCCAATAAAAATATTATGTCAATGCAGGTTGTCACAGTGGCCACTGCAGATGCCTCCATTCTCCTCCCATTATGTACAAGCCACTCTATCTGATGGCACAGACCCCATCCCTGGCTCTAAGTCAGGGCCTGATGGGCTCAGGGCTGTGTGATCAAGGTAACAGTTTAGGGACAGGCACCTGGCCCAAAAAGATCCGGTCAGAGCGAAATTTATTCTAGTTTCTAGTACATCTCGATATCTGGGAGTGTCAATCTTCTTTGCTCTTCTTCAAGATTGCCTTGTTTATTCTAAAGCCTTTGCATTTCTCCACACCTTTAGAACCCCCTTGTTAATTCCCAGAAAAACACCCGGCTGAGATTTTGATTGATATTCAATTGAACGTATAGACTAATTTGGGAAGAACTGACATTGTAATAATATTGAGTCTTTTCCAAGTCGCACACATTGTATATCTCTCTCTATTTCTTTAGGACTTAAAATTTCTCCCAGATATATTTTGTGGTTTTAAGTACAGATATCTTATTCATCTTTTGTTACATTTCAGTGCTGTTGTAACAGTAGTTTTAAAATTTCTCTTTCTATGTGTTGATTGCTAGTATATAAAAATACAGTTGATTTTTTAATGCTCATCTTGTATCCAGGGTCCTTGCTTAATTCACTTATTAATTTTCAAGCTTTGTATATTCATTTGGATGTTACTTTGTATAGAATCCTGTTATCTGTGAATAAAGATGGTTTACTCCATCCTTTCCAAAATTCAGGTGTATTGGCCTATAATTTTTCTTTCTTATAATAATCTTCTCAGGTTTCGGAATCAGAGTTTGGAAGACTGGAAGTATACCCGTTTTCTCTATTCACTGAAAAGTCTGAATATGTTTTTTCAAAAAATTGTCTTATTTTGAAATAAATTTAGATTTATAAAAGAGTTGTAAAGATAGTTGAATACTTTTTTGTTGTTGTTGAGGAAGACTGCCCTGAGCTAACATCTGTTGCCACTCTTCCTCTATTTTTTCATATGTGGGACACCTCCACAGCACAGCTAGTGAGCTGAGCAGGCCGGGATCCGAACCTGCGAACCTGGGCTGCTGAAGTAGAGTGCATGGAACATTAACCACTCAGAAACCAGGCTGGGCCCGTTGAATAGCCCAAACAAGATGTAGAATATTTTTATTACTCCAGAAAGTTCCTGACTGTCCCTTCCCAGGCAGTCTGCCTTCACACTTTGGGCAACACTGACCTGATTTCTGTCACTGCAGATTAGTTTGCCTGTCCTAGAACCTCGCATAACTTGGACCATACAGTATGTACTCCTGTATTACTCGGGGTTTTTCACACAGCACAATGCCGGCTGTGACACATGCAACTATAGGCGTTGCATGCATCAACATTCGTTCATTTCTATTGCTGAGAATATTCGATTTATGAATATAACAACTTATTTATACATTCAACTGTTGATGGGCATTTTAGCTGTTTCCAGGTTGGGATATTATGAATAAAGCTCCCAGGAACATCTGTGTCTAAGTGTTTTTGTGGATATATATTATCGCTTCCCTTAGGTAAACACTTAGGAGTGGAATTACTGGATTACAGGGCAGGTGAAAATTTGATGTTATAAGAAACTACTAAATTGTGTTGCAGACAGGCTGTGGGCATGTCAAACGGCACAACAATGTGCACAGCAATGCAGCAGAGTCCCGGGGACTGCCTCCTCGGCAACAACTGGATTGCTAGCTTCAGCCAGCGGTGCGCCCTTCCCATCTGCCCCTTCTCAGAAATGACAGCAGCCATCCAGTTCAACCCAAAACCTAGTATTTATCCTGGATTCCACTTTCTCTCATACCCTACACCTAATCAAACCAAGCCTTGAATCCATCCGCTTTCCTTCACTCTCCACATCTGCGCCCTCAGCCCTAGCCCCAACACCTCTTCCCTCCCTTGGTCCACTGAAATAACCCAATGACTGTCTCCTTGCTTCCATCTTAGATCTGCCACAATCCAGTCCCCACACAGCATTTAAAGTAGTCCTTTTGAGATGTTAACCTGATGATGTCTTTCCCCTTCTTAAAAGCTGTTCGGCTGCATCCCAATTACTGCTGCAAGGCTAATAAAATCCGAATTCCTACCTAATGTGTGCCTGCCTCATCTCCTGCCCCACTCCTCTTCCCCCTGGCTGTGGTCCAGCTCCGCGGCTTGCTTTCTGCTGCTCTAACATGCCATGCTCATGTCCATTGGAGGCTCTGTGTACTAGGTATTCCCTCGGCCTACAATCTCAGGGTAGCTGAGAGATACCACTCTCCCCCAGTTTTTCACTCCTCCCTTTTCCTTTCAATTCACAAATCTCGATTTTTCAAGGTAACACCCTCTACAGGTTTATCTCACCATGGTTCTTGGCTATAGTAACTCTTTCTCCCAGAACCCACGCATCACAGTCCGTCGTCAGTGCTGGGGCCTCATGCTGCCACCTGGTTACCTTGCTGCCTGTGTGATGAGAGAGTCCGCGTTCCACACAAAGGACCGAAGGGCCAGGGTTTCCTCCCCAGAACAGGGGCCCCTCTTCCTTCTGTGTGACCCAGCACCAAAGACTGTGCCCAGTCTGACTGCCGGAATGAGAAATAACTGCTGCCCGCATTTTGGTGTCAATATTTTATGTATTCCTTTCAGGCCACGCTCACATGCTCAGCACTCCTGCCGGAGACAGATCCCAGCAGTGCTACGGGCTAGGGCTCATCTGGGGGCTGGGGGATGGACGAGGCCCATGCTCTTGCTGCCACATCCCAATTAATCACTCTGTCAGCTGTCCCAGGTCTTCTGATGTGCTGGGGTTACAGAGCCCCTGGACGTGACGCTGTCTCACGCTCCGGGACAGAGGCCTCCCCGAGGCTCCTTCTTCCAGGCGCTCTTCTGACTTCAGTCTCTTGGGAGCTAATCCACTAAGAGGAGCCTTGTTTGGGAGCATAGTTAAGTATCCACTATTGCCCTTTTTATATTGGAAAGATAACATCTAGGATCTGGTGGAGGAAGGCAAACAACAGTCTACGCTGAGATTACCGTCTGAAACCAGAAGCCCAAGCACAGCAAATAATAACCAACGCTGAAATAACCCGGCACTGCGACAAGTGCCTCACGTGCATGCAATCATTTAAGCTTCACAGCAACCCCATAAGGTTGGTACTATTATTGTTACTGTTTTGTATGAAGAAACTGAGATGGAAACAAGTTAACTATTTGCCTTAGTCTCACATTTGGTCAATGGAAGAATTGCGATTCCTTCACTGGCTATGCTGGGGTGTGTGTGCGTGTGTGTGTGTATGTGGGTGCATGCGCATGTGTGTGTGTGTGATAAGACCATACGTAATATCGCATAACCCACTCTCTTCACCTACTTTTAATCTTAATAAGTCTGCAGAATCATGTCTGAAAGATACTTTTTGGACATTATATGACTAAACCAAAAGGTATTTAATCAATTCATTTTGTTGGACTTCCTGTTTTCAGCTTTTCATTTTAAGCAGTTCTATGATTGACATTCCTGCAATCTATCTTTATGCACTTCTTCAATTATATCCTTACAGGTAAATCTCTAGAAGTGGAATTGCTGTGTCAAAGGCATGCACTTCTTTTAGAACTTGCCATATGCAACACGAATGTCGCTCTTTTGTGTCTCTCCCTCGAATTTTGCCTCGTGCATGCCCCTTTAAATGATTTAGGCACTCTGCACATGTGTATTTAGTATTCTGATCTTCTCTGTCTCATTCTCCTCTCTTCTTTTGATTATCTAGCAACCAACTTCCTTTCGCCTAACCTGCTTTGGTTTTATATCTCAGCTCCTGATACACTTTGATTGCCCTGGCATTTCTGATTCACTTTTCCCTTTTATTCTGGATGTGAAAACACCTTCCACTGGGTCAGGCGGTGGGAAATACACCCTCTCCTGTCTCCATGCTTCTGAATGTGCTATTCCCTCTGCGTGGAGCACCCTTCTCTTGTCTGCAGGTGAATTCCTACTCTACCTATAGACATCAGCTCAAGCATCACCCCCTCCTGGCAGCTGGCCTTTATATGCTCCCTCCAAGCTTTTGTAAGATAGTTCTCCCTCTGTGCTCCCCCAGCATCTTGATCTTATCTCTGTAATAGCACTCATTATATTGTAGGTATTAATGTAATGCAACAGTTAACAGGCCTGGCCCAATAAATGTTGGGTTGCATTTAACAGAGGTGGAACCGGTGACAGATGACTCGGTGAAAAAGTGACGGCCTCTAAAGGAGGCCTAGAAAAAACAAAAGCTACAGGGGAAGAGGTTTGTGCTCAGTATGACTCATTTTAAAAATGATTCCACCTGACCTTAGCATCCCCTCTTGGCCACCATCCTGATATTTGCCCCTGGCCTTCAAACTACATCCTCTGGTAGAAGATGCTCCCATGTGGTCCTGTGGGACCGACAGTCAGGCACGCTCCCTGCCCCGTCTTCTCTGCAGAGGAGAGCTTCCAATCCTAGAGTATAATCTCGTGAGATCAGAGATCACATATGATCCAGGCGTGTGTCCCCAACCCTGGAGCACCGTGCCTGGCACAGAGCATATGCACAGCGAATGCATTTTAAATAAGTGAATGAGTAGCTGTTCTGCAGAGGCTGCCCCATATCTCATTAAGTGTATCTACAGCCCACATGCAAACATCCCAGATGACAAGCACAAGACTAAGTCACCTTCAATTACTGCACGTCAACTGGACTCCCGTGACTGTATTCTACCCCGTTGACCGGACTTTGCCTGAGTGCTGTTATGTCTTTCAGAGGCAGGATTTCAACTGCCTGTGCACGCCTCTGGAATCCGTTTCCACAGCCAGGTCAGCTCTTTCAGCTGCCGAGGAGTGTGACGTCCCAGCATCTGGTGCTAGACTGACAGTGCTAAGAGCAACCTCTCTCTCTGAATAATTTCTGCAAGACCTCATTGTGGATGCTCTATGTAAAAACTAAAAGCTAGACATAACTGAGCATTATCCCATAACAAATGGACCAGGACGAACATTAGAATTCACAGATATAGAAGAAATTGCAGCCTGCTATGAACTAGGAGTGTAGGGAATCACCGAAATCTAGCCTGTTGCTTCAACTGAGTCTAGAGATCTCTCTAGAGATTTCAGGCTAGCACTAAGAAAGCACCACAAATCAGACCTGATTCTGGCTTCTTTCATCCTTGGTTTGGTTCAAAGGCCCGGTGGAAGCTGGGACTACAGAAGTTCTGGGCTGCTCTTATTGCCTTACTAGTAAATGCTGGCAGTGTATTTTCATGCACTGCAAATAATTATACCACAAATAGAAAGACCTTTTTTATATTCTAGGGACATTCGCATTCCACAGGTGATGAAATGGTGTCTATGCGTTCAACAGCCATTTATTGTAGGTCTATTTTGCGCCAGGATGGTCTCTGCTTCTCTCTACATTGACAAGTATAAGGGGCAGCAACGTCTTCTACTGAATCACAACCCACTGGATTATGCTCACCTTCCTGCAATTTTCGAGTTCTTTCACAAACAGAAGCCTCTTAAATTACCTAATTTTACCCATCTTTTACACAGTGCCAGTCAAGGAAACCTGAGCCGAAGCAAGCAGTATTTCAACACGACTTAATTGACTGTTTTCTACATCCGACTGACTATCAAATTAAGGCTGATGGAGATGCTCGAGACACTAAACGGTGCAGAACCATGTGTGAGGACATCGACCTATAACCTGTTCAGGGACTCAAGGATGAATCGATGCCACATTGTCAGGTTGTCTCTCAAGTTGTACAACGGCTTCAGCCCTAACTCTCACCATTTTCCTCTAGCATCTTATCTTCTAAATTGCTTGGATTTTTGCAATCTAGAATGGTTTGTGCTCATTATGTTGACTACACATTTTTTCCTTTTCAACCATAAAAAATAAAAATTAAAAGAGTAGGCAAGTTCATAGCTTTACTTTCAATTTTAATTCAACAGTCCAGAAAGAATTCAATAATTATCCACATTCTTCCTGAAAATAATATTTTAGAAAGCCATTGTAAGAGGAAAAGATATCTACTTCCTTTTCTAAGTAAAAAAAATGAAAATTCAATTATGATAGAAAATATAAACAGTTTAAATCAATAGTCCTTTTAGTAAATAAATCAACATAGAATTGTATAAGGAAAACTTACCTGATAAATTTATCTGGGTCTTTATGTAACTCAGGGTTGTCATCTTTCACTGTAAAGAAAAATATGAAAGGATTCTGGTTTACGTGGAAGATTGAATATATGGCTTTATGTGTACTCTTTCCAAAGCTTCAACAAAATGGTAATAAAAGGGGGAAAATAAGGTATAAAACCTCAAGGGGAGCAAAAGAAAGGTGGCGAGAAAATTTTTCAAGACAGAAAGCAGACGTCAAGTGATAACTGTCTTAGCAGGACATAGAAATTTGAAACCTAACTACATCATGAGGGGAGGGTGATAAAAAGCAAGAGGATGTACACTTCCGAACTTGGGGAACAATTCAGGAATTGGAGGTGCCAGACACCTCTGAAGGGTGACAGAGAGAGCACACACGCCTAAGACTTATACCCTCATCCTGCTCAGCCAGACGACCATCACTGCCCAGGCAGCAGGGAGGATGTTTCATCTCTGGAGAAACTGAGTCAGAGAGTCAGGCCTGGCAGACACTAGGCTCAAAGGAGAACCAGAGTACAGTAAGGGACTGACAGCAGGGGAGAAATCAAATAAACCATACTGAATAGATAAGATTCTTACTCTCTCCCGTTTCCACCTCTGAGAGCATAAGCAGCTAGCATCTCTCTCCAGGCTCAAGACTGAAGGATTCATCTCAGGAGAAACAGCCACGCCTGACCAACAGTATGGCCAGGTCCTCACCCAACAACCCTGTAATGAAACAAAACCATCCACTAGTCCAGGCTTTTCAGAGACTGGTTTCCATTCACCATGTGTCCATCAGTGGACACTCAAGGTCACTACACATTTGAGTAAAGTCAGGAACCATGAATGATAACAACCAAAACAAAGAAACAGGGAGAAAAACAGAAAATAGAGCCTACTTTTCTGGATATCTTCCAGAATATAGAACAAACACAAAGAGACAGGTAGTGGATAAAATAGATTTTTAAAAACTAGAAGACCAGATCAGTATATCTCACATCCAGATCTTTGGCTATCTAGAAGAGGAAATGGAGGGGAAAATAATTATAAGAGAGATCACTTAAAAAATTTCCAGAACTAAAGGATTAGAATTTGAGATTTAAACAGCTTATCGAATGCTCTACATGATGAACGGGGAGGGTAAAATCCCAAAAACACTACACCAAGAAACAGTATCAAGAAATTTAAGATCATTGGGAATAAAGAAAAGATTTTAAAAGCTTGCAGAAAGAAAACACAGCACACGTGAAGAATCGGACATCTGAATGAAATCAGATTTCTCAAGAGCAACTCTAGAAACTAGAAGGTACTAGGGTCTTTACAATTCTGAGAGAAAATTATTTCCAAACTGAAATTGAACCAAAGTGTGAACATGTGAGAGTGAAATAAATACATTTTTAGGCCCGCAGAGTCATAAACGCTGTAGCTCTCACGTACGAGGAAGCTCCGAGATGTGCTCCAACCAAATGAAGGCGCAAACCAACCAAGAGGAAGACGGGGCAGGGAGCAGGAGCTCCAGGCCCAGAGGCAGGCGGGAGGCTCACCCGGGTACCACGAGAGAACGCCAGTCCAGACTGAAGGAGGATGGGCGCAGGGGGCCGTGGGAAGCCAGTCTGCAAGGGGAAAGGCCACCGAGGGAGGGCTGGGAGTCCTTCCACAGCTTCGTCAGAAAGCTGAGGGGAAAATTAGATGGCAGATATTACGACGAAAAACCAAAAAAGCAAAACAACAACAACAAAAGAGGGAATGAAAAATCAGGCCATTGGGACAAAAAAAGAAAAATAATCCTTCATGGCTCATCCATGATGAATATTTACTAACTTGTAGTAACGTACCCAAACTATATTGGAGGATGCAGAGAGAAAAATGTGGGTGGAAATGGCAGTATAAAAGCTAAATCATTAAAAAATAAAGCTAAATACTTCTATTTCAGAAGAAGCCTATAAGTAATATCTAAAACTGAAAACCCCAGAAATGTCAGTACAGAATAAACTTAGAAATATAATGGTAAATTCCAGAATAAACAGCTAAATGTACTGCAAACTGTTGCTGCCTTGGTGGGGCGGGGGGTCGGGGGCACACAGCGATGGAAGGTGTGCCTTCAAAGTCTGCTATCTTTCATTAAAAACCAATTTGCATTATTTGTCTTTTAAAGCTATGAACATATATTTCTTTGATGGAAAAGAAATGCTTAACATTTTTAGTTAAAATAAGGAACTTAGAGACGTTGCTAAAAAGTTACTGGATTATGTGGTGCAATGAAACACAAAGAGGAAGAAAGAAGCCTGCAACCCCAGCAGAGAGATCCACACACAGCATCCTGGTGACTCCAGTTTTCCATATCTCATGGCACTCCTGTAACAACACAGGAGTCATCAGCCACAGAACCGGGTCTGGAGGAGGCTGCTGAAGCCCACGGTCTTTAGCGAGCAAGCTGGGCTACCGGACGAAATTTCCTTTTCCCCTGACATCCGGAAGGGGAAAAGGTATTCCTACGCTCAACAGCAACCAGTACTCCCTCTAAAAGGAACAGAAACCCAAACCTGGAACCCTATGGGACGTCACCTGCTTCAACTGTAGAAACAAATTGTTCTATTGCTATGAGGATTTGAAAACAACAACAGTGAACGAATTGGGAGCTTTCACTGGAGAAGAACCAAATGCTTATCACCACCTCTTTCTAACCTCGAGCAGAATGGGATGTATTTGCACAGTTATCAGGTTTTTAGAAAGGATATAATGCAAATTAGTATTATAATCTCCCTAATATTTCTATAATTATTCTCTATTCTTGTATGATGACTCTCATAATATTTGTCAGTTACTATATTATAGTCAGTTTAGATAAGTATCTGAAACTTATTAGAATAATTCTCCTTTAACAAAAGCTACAGGAGTACATCTGGCTAAGGGAAAAAATATTACTTCAGGCTTGGCTACCATTACTTGTTTTTACTATTTTCATCTTTTTGTATTTTCTTTCAACCAAAGATTTTTTAAATTATATGAACCCTATGTTTTGAAATATCAAAACAAATATGATAGAAGATAAGCATGATTTGACCCTATAACCACATAGAAATAAAAATTCACTAGGACAAACTGGAAATAAACAAGGACATGTGAGCTCACATGAAATCCCTTTGTAACAAATTAGAATCTAGGAGGCAAAACAGTTGTTATGCATTGTCTCCTTCCAGACCTTTCCTCCGCCTTCCCCCAAGTCTTCATAAATGAACCGAAGTATAACTGGGAAGGTCCTTGTCCAACTCCCGACACCGGGCAAGAAGCTCTTGGACCACAGCCCTGACAAACAGCCATTCCACTCTGCTAAATGAACCTGGTTCTATAGAAGCATCTCTCTAGTGACGGGGGCTGACCACTTGCCAACATGGCCTTGTCCGTTCTTAAGCAGCTTGAATCGTTAGAAAAGCCTTCCTCGTGTCTGGCCACCTGGGGCCTGGGTGGACTTTACCATCAGGGATGCTGCAGGTACATTTCACGGCATTTGCTTCTGGGAAAGATTGGTTAGGCATCCAACTGACTATAGAATTTATTGTCCGAACTGGAACACAGAGTGAGAGAGGGTACCAGAAATAATTACAGCAGGACTGCGCCAGGCAGTCTGGTGTACGTGAGCATCCTAACATAAGCAAGGGAGACGGGGCCACAGGGAGAAGAGGCTGCCAGGATACAGGAAAGTCTTTGAGACCTCCGCCAACTGGGTCTGAGCGCAGAGCTTGGTGCGTTCTTGTCGACGCACCAAGGCAAAGGCCTAGCTGTTCGGGCAAAGTACAGACATCACGGAAAGTTTGGGGAATGAGAGGCATTTGCAAGTCTGCATACCAAGTACCAGATTTAGGCTTAGGATAAAAAAATTAATTCCAGACCACTGATTATGAGGAAGAACTCCATAATGTATTCAAGGTATGCTCTGGCACAAGGCAGGGCCAGGCCTGCCTCCTCTGGACTTCAGTGGCTGCCACCCAGCAGGCTGGGAGGCTGTGACTGACTTGTAGCTTCCACATTAGTTCTACTTCAGTTTTTTGGAGCAACCTGGAAGTGATTTCCCTTTTCTAGGGGAAATCCCTTCAAATATTTGCAAACAGCTTTTACAACTGCCTTTTATCTTTTCTTCCATTAGCTAAACATATATAGTTTATTCAGCCACAGGAGACGTGATGCTCCAGAGCGAAGGTGAAGGGTTTCCAGACGCGGGCGCAGCAAACCAGAGCAGGTAAAACCATAGAATGCCCCGTGCTCAGCAGAAGGGCACATGAAGCTCACGATCAAACAGCTCCCCAAGAACTGTGTCACAGAATCAAGTTCTGCTATCAAGTCAGCTCTGTTCCATTCTGTACTTGGAAATTTTAATTCTTTGATCCCAAATGAATGACTTTATGTTCATCTCACTCAACTCAAGAGGCACAGGGAGGTGGGACTGCCCGGGCTGAAGTGCTGGCTCTGCACTGGCTCCCTGTGGCCTCGGGCTAGTCTGTCATCACTGACCCTTGGCTTCCTCGCTGAGGAAGAGGCTGAGGATCAGACGGATGGACATGTGTGAAAGCACTTTGTAAGCTAGGAAGTCAAATCAGGGTCTAAGTTCATGTGTATTTTTTCATTCGTTCACTATATACATTTTTATTCACTCCCTACAGCCAGACACGACTCTGATGGGCACTGAGGCTACAGGTCTAGCCTATAATTAATGCTGACAGAGATGAAATAATCAGCCGCCTCTTGAGCTTCTCATTTATACACTTGACTATCTGCTCCAGCTTTGTGTTATCTAAAAATGTGACAATACTTCCTCCTACGCACTTTCTGAATCTTCTTATTAATATATTAACACATAGGAGAGAAGATCCTTGTAGCATTCTAGCAGAGACCTGTTTCAGGTGTTACTGGTAATCAATCCGCATTGGATGCAGTCTTTCACAGGCATCCACACGGTAGCAAACAACCGTCTAATTTAGAGTGAACGGGTTTCTGCACTTCTTCTTTTCTCCCCAGAGCAGCTGTCCCTGCTGGACCACGATACTCTTTCCCCGTGAAGCCGCAGGAAATCTTTCTCTTTGTGGTCCCTATGCTACCACTCCCAGTCTGGCCGAGATGGCAAACAAGCTGATAGCTGTTCACCGTCTTGGATTTCCACACATGTCACCAACACGAAGAAGATAGTGAAAACCTGCCACAGCACTATGTGCTTTGTTGCTCATTTGCGGGGTGATGTGGCAACTGGAGCAGCTTTTCCGTCTGGTGTGATGGTCAAGTCGGAGAACTGGAAGGAGGGAAGGAGGACGTCTATCTGACGGGAGGACAAAAGAAAGGGCCAACTTCTCTTCAGCTTTCTTTTCATCCTTTCTCTCTGCAGGGCAAACACAAAACCTACTGCCCAGAATAAGTTACTATAGAAAATTCTTTAAAGTCAGTTTTTAAATTTCCATTCACCAGAATATGGACATAGCTTTGATATAGAATATTTCTGTATAATGATGGTACTGTAGGGCTCAATGAAAGTTAAGTGGTAGGTATCATTCATTCATTCCGCAAACATTTACTGAGTAGAGGATGCAGAAGTGGATGCTACTGTATTCTGGTGGGTCAGACATGTGATCACAGTGGAGCAGTGCAACTCCTGTGTGTACAAACAAGCCTCAGAACTGTCACAGAACGTTTGAGGAACTCTGTGAAAATCATGACATGTTTGAAGATATTGAAAAAGATGGCTGATCAACACCACCTGATTTGCGTCAGACCCAGGAGCCCTGTGGAGGAGCACTTGAACTTGGTCAGAATGAGACAGAACTAGCTAATGGACTGGCATGTCCCAGAAGGAGACTGGAAAAAGAGACAATGGATGTCTGAGAGAAAAAGCACACGGGAGGTCAGTTTGGCAGAGTGAGTCTGGACAGCAAGTCCTGCTGACTGGAGAGGTATGACACCAGCTACTATACAAGGCTGCTGGGCATGCTGGAAGGAGGAGGGGCAGACTCCAAACGGAAGAGCTAAGTCAGTAAGGGCCCAAACTCCACTTGTGGCAAACCCTCCTGGGCATAAGTAGTCAATGGCATAGCTCTTCTAACTGCAGAGAGGGGACGGGGCAATGGAGGGATGGAGTTGAGTCATATAGAGGTCACTGGCAGGATGAGAGCAAACCAACAGCATCCGAAAAACACTGGTCAATAGAGCAGAAAGACTGAAGAGCCTCAGGTGCCATTCCCACCTGGACTCTTAGAAGGAATATCTGGGGGGACTCTCTAGAAAAAAAATGCTGAACATTTTCCTAATCAAGAGGAGAGGAGTCCCAGATCAGTAAGATCTGAGGTGCTGCAGGTGAAGTAAGAGAAAAATCCATTATAGCTCAAAGAGGTAAAATTAAATATCATATTTCATTGTTCACAGAAATAGAACAAAGTATCCTAAAATTCACATAGGGCAACAAAAGACTCTGAACAGCTAAAGCAATCCTGAGAAAAAAGAACAAAGCTGGAGGCATCACAATCTCAGACCTCAAGATATGCTACAGAGCTATAGTAACCAAAACAGCATGGTACTGGCACAAAAACAGACACACAGATCAATGGAAAGAACCGAAAGCCCAGAATTAAAACTACAACTCTATGGTCAGCTAAGCTTCAACAAAGGATCCAACAACGTACAATGGAGAAAGGAAAGTCTCTTCAATAAATGGTGTTGGGAAAACTGGACAGCCACATGCAAAAGAATGAAAGTAGACCAGTATCTTTCACCATACACAAAAATTAACTCAAAACGGATCACAGACTTGAAGGTAAGACCTGAAACCATAAAACTTCTAGAAGAAAATAGAGGTAGTACATATTTGGACATCAGTCTTAGAAGCATATTTTTGAATACCATGCCTACTCGGGCAAGGGAGACAAAAGAAAAAATAAATAAATGGGACTTCATCAGACTAAAGAGCTTCTGCAAGGCAAAGGAAAGCAGGATCAAAACAAAAAGACAACCCACTAACTGGGAGAAAATATTTGCAAATCATATATCTGAGATGGGGTTAATCTCCATAATATATAAAGAACTCACACAACTGAACAACAACAACAAAAAACAACCCAGTCAAAAAATGGGCAGACTATATGAACAGACATTTCTCCAAAGAAGATATACAGATGGCCAATAGGCACATGAAAAGATGTTCAACATCACTGATCATCAGGGACATACAAATCAAAACTACACTAAGAAATCACCTTACACCTGTTAGAATGGCTATAATCACCAAGACAAAACATAACAAATGTTGGAGAGGATGTGGAGAAAACGGAACCCTCATATACTGTTGGTGGGAGTGCAAACTGATGCAGCCACTACGGAAAACGGTATGGAGATTTCTCAAAAAGTTAAAAATAGAAATACCATATGACCCAGCTATCCCACTACTGGGTATTTATCCAAATAACTTGAAATCAACAACAAAGAGATTTATGCACCCCTATGTTCATTGCAGCATTATTCACAATAGCCAAGAAGTGGAAGCAACCCAAATGCCCATTGACTGATGATTGGCTAAAGAAGATGTGGTGCATATATATATATATACATACAATGGAATACTACTCAGCCATAAGAAAAGGCAAAATTGTCCCATTTGCAACAACATGGATGGACCTTTAGGGTATTAGGTTAAGCGAAATAAGCTAGACTGAGAAAGACAAACACTGTATGATTTCACTCATATGTGGAAGATAAACAAACACAAGGACAAAGAGAGCAGTTCAGCGGTTATGGGGGGAAGCTGGTTGGGGGGTGAGCACAAAGGGTGAAGGGGCTCACTTATACGGTGACTGACAAATAATAATGTACAACTGAAATTTCACAATGTTGTAAACTATTATGACCTCAATGAAAAAAACCCCTAAAATATATAATGGAAAAAACCCACAAAAAACCACGATGGATTTTGAAAAAAAAATATATATCTCGCATCTTTATGATAAGTAGACTAGTTTCAATTGGCACCGTCTATCCACATAACCACAATATTCAAAGATACTAAGCTTTTGATCTTTGATAACCTTTAAAAAAGGGTCACACTGACTGGTTCTGGAAAGAGGCAGACAGGAGAGATCTTAGCACAATTCCACTGCTGAAACGGATACAGAAAACATTCCCTTATAGAAGGGGATTTGCTAGATTACTCATTTGCTATAAATGTTTAATCAATAACTGGCAAATAACAATCAATAGGCACTTCTTACATTGTACTGGCTGGCCGAAAAGTCTTAGAACTATCAGGCTGTACATATGTTCATTTTTAATCAGAATTTGGGCCGCTTCCAAATTCACTGGGTTTTCTAGCACTGGGTTAGAGAGCATGACCTGAAGGAAAACAAACGGAACACACAGTTTTTAAAGTAAACTTTTTTCTTGGAGCAAAAAGACAGATCAATACATACAACATTCAAGAGGCATTAATTAAATGCCTACAATATCTGCCTGGAGATGGATCCAGAGGCGCATTGGGCATGGTCCCTGCTCTCAAGACTCTTCATCTAATTTTTACTGTTCGTTCATGAGCCAAACATAAGGATCAAAACAAGCTACAAATTCCTTCTTGTAACTTACTTCTTCCTATCCCATAAATTTAAATTGAATGTATGTGTAAAGGAACTAAACATTCAGAAACAGTTCCATTAAAAAATAAAACCTTACATTTTTAACATAAGATCATATTTAGGTCACGGATAAACAAACACATGTATTAACACACATCTGTACAATTTAACATCCCTCCAGATCATCGAATGATTAATTTGGTATCTGTAGTAATATTCTATTGCTGCTGTAACAAATTACCACACATTTAGCAGCTTAAAACAACACAGATTTGTTCTCTCACATTTGCACATGTGGGAAGTCTGGGGTGGTTGGGCTGTTTTCTCTTCCTGATTTAACAAGACTGAAATCAAGGTGTTGGCCGGCTGGGCTCTTATCAGAGGCTCTGGGAGAATCTGCTCCCCAGATCATTGAGGTTGTTTGTGAGCTGAATTTAGTCCCTTGCAATCGTAGGACTGAGGTCCTGCTTCTTTGCTAGCTGTTACCTGGGGGCTCCCCTCAGCTCCAAGAGGTCTCTTGTGGGTCTTTACACTTGGACTCATACATCCCAGAGGCAGTAAAGGTGTGAAAAATCCTCTCAGGTTTGGAATCTCTCTGATGCCCGCACCTGTCACCTCTCTCCTCCTCCTTCCACCGTATTTCTCTGAGTGGCCTGCTGCCTCCCTCTTTTATTAGTAAGGGCTCGTGTGGTTCCTTTGGGCCCTACCCTGCTGCATAATTTAGGAGAACCTACCTATTTTAAGGTCAGCTGATTACTAACCATAATTCACTCACAAAGTCCCTTCAGAGCAGTACCTAGATTAGTGTTTGATGGATTAAGCAGAGGAGTTACTGGGGGGACATCTTTAAAATTCTGCATACCACAGCATCTATGAATCTGAACAAAAGAGGTGACCAGTAGTAACCAAAACTTCTTAGTGCTGCTGGACCATGATCTTGTTTATCTGTACCTCACAATTAATATTAGCCCAAATTGAAAATATTTATTCAATAATTCAATATTTTGAATATTATAACATGCAAGCTATATAATAAAATATAGCTAAAATAATAACTACCAGAATACTTACGTGTAGATGCAGGTCAAAGTGGATAATTGTGGTTTAAGAGTCATGGAAATGATGGCAATCTTTCACTACTGAAAGCAATAATCTGACATCTGATATTTCAAAAGCAACAAGAATTTTCCGCTGTTATTTGAGTTTTCCTGTTTGGAAAACCCATTTGAGCTATATTTCCAAGAATATTACAATTGCTTAAATAAGGATTCAGTGTGGATTGCATTATACCCTTCAAAGTGGGTGGGAAGCAGATGAAACTCATCTTTAAGAGCGAGTTCTGGTCTTTGGCTAGAGAGAGAATCTTTCTCAGAGATGCACAGCTGGTAAAGTTTATTCAATAGTCTTCGTATTGACACTGTGTCTGCGACCTTTTCATATAATGTGTACACAAGCTACTGACTGTACTTAATGATTTTTAAGAACTGGAATATGAGGAATATATTAAAATGTATAAATCAGTCACCCTGCTAAAATAGTAAAAAGTCCAGATTTTAAATTAGCCATATGATTGTATGAAATAATATAAGAGGCTCTCCAGAGGATAAGTACAAAAATTTGAAGCATCAGTAAACTAGAACAGTAGGTATATTTTATAACATCTAGTTAGTTAAAGCCCATGATTTGTAATTCATTCTACGGGTGGGTGCTGATATTTACTTTTGCATTCTACATGGAAGTGAAAGTGTTTGAATAAGTTAAGATTGTAAAAATTTTAGGAGGAGACGATTAGTATATTTAGACTTTAAAATATTTTAAACACCATTTCAAGTACCACTCCCTTGAATGACAATGTGATAATTATAAATGTGTCTCATTTGTTAGTCAAAAGGAAGTAGTCAGAAATTATGGTCTATACTTGTACTGTCTATTACAGAAGGTTTTAGCCAAAAGTGGCAATTTAAATTAACTAAAATTAAATAAAATGGGAGAGTGACATCAGCATCACAGTGGAGTGAGCTCTTCCCTTAGTCTCTCCCCCCTAACATACAATGAAAAAGACATTCATAAACTGACAGAAGACATTCACACAACACAACAGACGTCTGAGAGTCCCCCGCAGCCATACTTCTGAAGTTGGAGGTGCTGGATCCCCCAGGAGGCAGTGGAAAGAGGTAAGGGGATCTCCCCTCCCTCCTGAACGGCAGTGATCTAGAATGCGGGACCTTGTGCTGTGGCCGGCACATGACTCTGAGACAAGAGGGGGGAAAGGGCAGCTCTCTGCAGGAATGCCTTCAATCAAGGAATTGCCTCCCAGCCTGTGGGAATGCTCCACATGGAGGAGGCTAAGTAACTGCAGGGCTGCCTTCACCAAGTCGAGCAGCCCAGGAGGGCAGACAGCGAGTGCAGAGTGGGAGCCCCCGCCAGGAGTGTGCACGTGAAAGAAAGCACCCCTTGCCCCACCTGGTGCACCAGCTCGGCTGGTAGGCCAGAGCAAGAGACCCCCACCAGAGCACCAGCACATACATGTGTAAAGTAATGGCAGCCAGTGGGAAAACACAGATGGGTCCTGTTGGCATAGCTTCCAATGGACAGGCACAATTGCCAAAGATTGTGGTAGGCTCAGAATAAACAGCTCCTGCCCCCCACAACCCCCAATGGCAGCAGGTGAAATCTCTGACCAGATACTACAACTATGCAATGGCACAGGTCCACCCCATCAAATAGCGTGAAGAGGTATATTAACGCTCCAGAGAAGAAGGAAAATGACAAGTACCCAGAAATCAATCCTGAAGTCACAGAAATTTACAATCTAAATGACAGAGAATTCAAAATAGTTAAAATAAAGAAACTCAACGAGTTACAAGAAAACTCAGAAATACAGTTCAATGGAAGCATGAATAAAATTAATAAACACAGGGAATTCTTCACAAAAGAGATTGAAATTTAAAAAAATCAGAAATGTAGGAGATAAAAAATACAATGAATGAAATATAGAAAAATCTGGAATCCTTAAATAGCACAGCTGATATTATGGAGGACAGATTTAGTAATTCAGAGGACAGAAATACAGAAAAGCTTCAGATGGAGGAGGAGAGAGAAATAAGACTAAAAAGAAATGAAGATATATCCAACTCAATTAGGAAATGCAACATAAGGATTGCAGGTATTCCAGAGGGAGAATAGAGGGAAGACAGGAACAGAAAGCTTGTTCAAAGAAACAATAGCTGAGAACATCCCAAACCTGAAGAAGGAGCTGGAATTACATGTAAAAGAAGCTAATAAAACTCCTAATTACATCAATGTAAAAAGATCTTCTCCAAGGCATATATTAGTAAAAGTGGCAAAAGTCAATGACAAAGAAAAAATATGAAGGGCAGCAAGGCAGAAGAAAATAACCTACAAAGGAACCCCTATCAGGCTTTCAGCAGATTTCTCAGTAGAAAGCTTACCGGCTAGGAGAGAGTGGAATGATATATTCAAAATTCTGAAAGACAAAAAATTCCAGCCAAGAATACTCTATCCAGTGAAACGATCCTTTAGATACGATGGAGAAATAAAAACTTTCCCAGATAAACACAAGCTGAGGAAGTTCATCAGCACAAGACACCCCCTAAAAGAAATTATCAAGAAGTTCCACATACCTGCAAAAAAAAAAAAAAAGAAAAGAAAGGATTTACAAAGACTTGAGCAAGGAGATAAATAGGGAGACAAAATCAGAAAATTGCAGCTCTCTATGAGAACAAGTTAGCAAACACTTTATTATAATATTAAAGATAAAGGGAAGGAAAACCTCAATAATAACTATAATCACTTCATTTCAGCCACAGACTCACAACACAAAACGGCTAAGTTGTGACAACAATAACTCAGACAGGGAAGAGCAAAGGGATGGAACCTGCTTAGACTAAGGAAATAAGAGGCTATCAGAAAATGGATTATCTCATCTGTGAGATCTTTTACACAAACCTCACAATAACTACCAAACAAAAAATCAGAACAGAGACATAAATGATAAAGAGAAAACTGAGAAAACCATCATAGAAACTGACCAAACTGAAATGGCAATCAGAAACACATGGGAAGAGAAACAAGGGAAATATAGAACTGGAAAACAAGAGATAAAATGGCAGCATTAATCCCTCATATATCAATAATCACTCTAAATGTAAATCGACTGAATTCTCCAATCAAAAGACACAGAGTGGCTGGATGGATTAAAAAACAAGACTCATCAATATGCTGCCTCCAGGAAATACGCCTCAGCTCTAAAACCAACACAGGCTCAGAGCGAACGGATGGAAGACAATACGTGAAGCTAATGGCAAACAAAAGAAAGCAGGTGTTGCCATACTTATATCAGACAGAGTAGACTTCAAGACAAGACGGGTAAAGAGAGACAAAGAAGATCAGTATATAATGATAAAAGGGACACTCCACCAAGAAGACATTTCTAAATATATATGCACCTAACACAGGAGCATGAAAGTACATAAAGCAACCATTAACAGACCTAAAAGGAGAAATTGACAGCAACACAGTAATAGCAGGGGACCTCAACACACCACTCACATCAACAGACAGATCACTCAACAGAAAGTAAACAAGGAAATAGTGGGATTAAATGAAAAACTAGACCAGATGGACTTAATAGATATATACAGAACACTTCATCCAAAAACAGCAGAATACCCATTCTTCTCAAGTGCACATGGAACATTCTCAAAGATAGACCATATGTTGGGAAACAAGGCAAGCCTCAGTAAATTTAAGAAGATTGAAATCATATCAAGCATCTTTTCTAACCATAATGGAATGAAACTAGAAATCAACTACAAGAAAAAAGCTGGGAAAGCGACCAATATGTGGAGACTAAACAGCATGCTACTGAACAACCAATGGATCAGTGAAGAAATTAAAGGACAAATCAAAAAATATCTGGAGACAAAAGAAAATGAAAACACACCATACCAACTCATACGGAATGCAGCAAAAGCAGTCCTAAGATGGAAATTCATAGCAATACAGGCTCACCTTAACAAACAAGAAAAATCTCAAATAAGCAATCTTAAAGTATACCTAACAGAACTAGAAAAAGAAGAACAAAGCCCAAAGTCAGCAGAAGACGGGAAACAATAAAAATTATGGCAGAAATAAATGAAATAGAAACCAAAAAAACAGTATAAAGGATTCATGAAACTAAGAGCTGGTTCTTTGAGAAGATAAGCAAAAGTGACAAACCCTTAGTCAGACTCACAAAGGAAAAAAGAGAGAAGGCTCAAGTAAATAAAATTAGAAATGAAAGAGGAGAAACTACAACGGATACCACAGAAATACAAAGAGTTTTAAGAGAATACTATGAAAAACTATATGCTAACAAATTGGACAATTTAGAAGAAACAGATAAATTTTAGACTGATAAGCCAGACAAAGACAAACACTGCATGATTTCACTCATATGTGGAGGATAAGCAAACACACGTACAAAGAGAACAGATTAGTGGTTACCAGCGGAGAAGGGGGTTGGGGAGTGGGCATAAGGAGTAAAGGGGCACATTTATATAGGGACTGACAAATAATAATGTACAACTGAAATTTCACAATTTTATAAACTAGCATGACCTCAAGAAAAGAAAATTAAATTAAAGAACTAAATACAATGAAAAACTCAGTTCCTCAGTTACACTAGCCACATTTCAAGTGCTCAGTAGCCGCAGGTGACTGGTGGCGGCCATATTGGATAGCTTTTATTGACTTCTTTTCTTGGACCACCTGTGGGTCTAAGTACTTTCCATCTATTACTTCATTTAATCCTCGCAAGTGCCGTGAGGTAGCTACTAACAGCCCCATCTTACTAAGGAAGGAATTGAGGCATTGAGAAGAGAAGAAAGTTGTCCAACAGCACAAAGGTGTTAAGTGGCAGAATCAGGCTGTGAAGCCAAGCAAACTGATCTCAGAGCTCCAGATTGACCTCCTATTACATGGTTCTGCATTTCACTCTGGCTTGCCCTCACTCACGACATTTTGGGAACTTTCAGTTTCTCCCTTCTTAAGGCAGATCCTACTTTAGGTGCATGAGGTAGGAACGTGACTCGGTTTAGAGGAACCCAAAGAGCCACTCGGATATCTGCATACCAGGTGCCCTCACCGCCTTCAAGTCTCTGCTCAAACGTCACTCCCAGCACAGGGCCTGGCACAGGTACATGCTTGATACGTATTTGCAGAATGAATGAATGAATGAATGAATTGAACATTGAATCCTTTCAAAAGATTAAATTTCTCTCAGTATACTAAGGTGACTAGATAGAAAATTAAGCATTGTTTTATTCTATTTTAAAAATAAGAAATGGAATTTGCGTTACAATTCTATTACTGAGAAAATGCAATTAAGCCAGAAGGCTTTATTCTCCAAGTATTCCAGATAATCAAAATTTAATAGTTTATCTCTGGACATTATTAATGATGAGTGGGTTCTTGTAGAAAATTGCTGAGCTGCATCTAAGTGATCAAAGCAAGTGCCACTGAAATCATTTACTTCAGCATCAGATAAGAAAGAAGGCTCTTTGGGGCTGGTCCCATGGCCGAGTGGTTAAGCTGGCATGTTCCACTTCGGCGGCCCAGGGTTTCGCTGGTTTGGATGAGGACATGGCACCGCTCATCAGGCCATGCTGAGTCAGCGTCCCACACAGCAGAACCAGAGGCACTCACAACCAGAGTATACAACTATGTATGGGGGTCTTTGGGGAGACAAAGAAGAAGAAAAGGAAAAAAAGGATTGGCAACAGATGTTAGCTCAGGTGCCAATCTTAAAAAAAAAAAAAAGAAAGAGGGCTCTTTGAGGGTGAGGAATAACCCAACACTGAGGCGGGCTCCTAAGGACCACGGAGCGGGAGGTAAAGGGGACATTCTCGGAACAGGTATCCGTCTGAGGGGAGAAGAAAATCCCAGGTTTGACCATTCACTGGGTTTGATATGGAGGCTTATAAAAGAACAAGCAGCTGGCATCATCAGAACAAAGGACAAAGCCGAACATTTTAAGTTGTAGTCACTGCGTCCCCTTTCTGAGGAAGGTAAGGCTCCTGATGAGGAAAGATGGGAGAGGACTGCTCAGTATTATGAAGGGAAGTCAGGAGCCAAGAGGAAACTTAAGACTCTGTTTCTAAAGCTGAAACCATCCAAACAGTTCCCTTCTTCTTTTATAAAATACGTATTCTGTGGTTGTGAAGGGCCTTAACTATTAATTTCACTTTAAAAATAATAGTCTTTATAATTCGACATCCATTTTATAGACTTGATGCAGAAATGCTATTGATTTAAATAAACTTTTTCAAATCCTTTAAACATTTAAAAAAGCAGTGTACATTTTAGTCCTATATTTGAATAATTGGGGTAACTAAAATGATTAAAGAGAGCATTATATTAATCTGTTCTTACCTGGAGGGTAAGTAGGATGCTGCTCAATGTATAGCTTGTACTCCACTTATCAGGATTGTCCAAAAAGTCTATACAGGGCCGGCCAGTATATAGGTCTACTGCATTAAAATAATACATTAACATTGATACACATAATACAACTATATTTAAAACTTATAAACATCAAAATATCATAGGCAAAATTAGAAAACAAACAACAAAGCAGGAAAATTATTTGCAGAGGATATGCCAGACAGTTAATACAGGGCAGCCGTAAAGAGTATGGACTTTGGTGTCAGACACACACAGATTTGAACATTGGCTCCCCTACTTATCAGCTATGTGATGCTAAGCAATTAACTTTACCTCTTCAGGTCTCACTTTCTTAATATGTGAACTGAGTTATGATTAAAGTACCCATGTTCACTGTAAAGAATTAGTAAAATAAAGTACTTAATAGAGTACCTGGCATATAGTGAATCCTCAAAAAATGATAGGTATCATTATTAATAATACTTTTATTAACATGTAAATAGTGTTTATAAATGAATAAGAAAAACACATACTCTGATAGAAAAATCTTTCAATAAAAAAGGTAAGAACTGAGAAGAAAATCTTGAAAAGGTAAAAAGAGGGATCTTAGACTTAGTAGATTACATTGTATTATAAAACCACAATAATTATAACAGCATAGAGGGACACAAGATTAGACAGAGTAAACAATGTAACAAGAAAATTTAGAAACAAATCATAGTATGTATTAACATTGTTGTATGTTAAAAGTGAAATTGTGACTCAGTGGTGAAAGAAAAGATTGCCAACAAACGCTATAAAAACTGTTGCGATCTACTCATTGCATCTCAGTGCCTACTCTCCCTTTCTCCCATTTCTTCTCTCTGTGATGAGAAACACTCTGCCTGCCTCCAACCCCATCCTCCCTCGAGGTTTCCGGTGAGTACATGGGAGCTGGGATCACTCTTACCAGCCTCCCCTCCAGCAAGATGTGCCCACGTGACTAAGTTTCAACCATGAGTGTGCAATGTGAGGATCACATTTTCTTAAGGAAGCTGTTTTGTCCTCTTCTCTCTCTCTCCCCCTCCCCACTGGCTAAAAAGGTGACAGAGTAAATGCCTTAGATCCAGAAATGGAAGCCACACACTGAGGATGGCAAAACCTCCCTGCCAGCTTTGTTCTGTTCTATATGGATTGGAAAGATATGCAGAAGCTGGCCAACACAATCAAATCAATATTTGGGAAGAAAAAAGAATAGAGTTAGACGTGAAAAATAAAATTATAGAATTTAAGAAGAATATTAAAATGATTGTGTTCTGGAGAAGGATCATCTAAGCTTAAAGATAAATGCAAAAATCTCAAAGGACAAGACTAATAAACATGACTATATAAAAATTTAAAAATCCCAGACAAAAAAGAATTAAAAATTAGTAACAAGAAACAGGAAATATTTGTGACATCTAGGACAATGTGATAACATTGTTAATAAGTCTGACAATTCACAAAACAAGAAACATAATCAACAGATGAGAAAAAACGTTTAACTCACAAGTATTCAAAGAAGTATATATTGAAATAAGGAGATTCTTATCAAGTTTGGAAAAAAAATTTCTCCAAAGTTTCTATGCCCAGAATTGGAGAGCGCAAGAGCGTTCAGAACTTCATATCCGCTTACTGGTGGGGTGTAAATAACGTCCCTGAAAGGCAGTCGGGCTTATGCGTCTACAGACTTAGAACTGTACACAGACATCCTTTGGAGTTTGGCGGCTAATAAATAACACACCTCTCTTCCCAAGTTCAAATATGATGAGATAGACCAAGGTGATGAAAGACGAAAGGAGAAAACATCAATTTTAGTTAAGACTGAAATGGTAAATGCACTTGACCAATGGCTTTAATCGGACTCCACAAAAGTCCCTCTGGTTTGAATGCTACCCTCAACCTAAAGCCTGCCCGAGTGTCCTGCCTGGAGAGGCAGGGACCATACCATCCCAAGCTCTGGCAGGTTGGAAGGAAAGTGCTGAGGAAGTGCCTGCCCAGAGGGCAAGAGGGAAGGAAGACCATCGAGTCTTCCCATGCTTTTCTCTCCTACAGACAGACGCTCTCTCTACTCTGCGGAGAGGGAGCGATGACGACTGAGGGAGAAGAATCCCCTCTCTGCTATATTTAATCCAGAATTCTGCCGCTACTGATTTATTTTAAGCAAATAATGGCAAATGTACACAATTTTGTACTATAAATTTGTTTATCCTTTAAAAATAGGTCTTAATTACAAAAGTGATAAAGTACTTGAAATAAATTACATAAAAATATATAAAGTAAAAGATGAATGCTCCCATGTCTACTAATGACCCTTTCAGAGTTATTACCAGCTGGAGGGCACAAATATACATACACACATATGTGTGTGTGTGTCTGAGTGTGTGCATGGCCTTTGTTTTTCCATTAAGTTGAATTATATTTTACATTTTGCTCTTCAAAGGGTTTTTTTATTTAACAGCAAGTTGTCAACATATTTCTGGACATATTTATTTTAAAAAATTTGAACACCAACTCACCTGCCAAGTAATGAAGAGTCTAGGGGTACGGCCATGACCATAAAGTCTGGCCTTGGCAGAGCTTTCTTGCTCTGTTTAAAAGCAGTACATATAGATGTAGGACATTTTACTTAAAAATTTATATATTAAGGGACATTGAGCTTATTTCCCTTGTATTTATTTCCAGCATTGTTAATGGCAGCAAATAGTTTTAAATATTAAACATAGTCTCGCACACCTGTGCTAGTATTTCTATGGAATAATTTATAAATTATTATTATAGACTTAGGGCTATTTGCATTTTATATCTGACTAGAAATTGTCAAATTGCTTCCCAAAAAGGTCACACTAAGGTCATCATTATGTCAGAGAACCTGTGTCTGCCCACACCTACTAAAACTGCATATTATTTTTAACATTTTGTAAATGTAAGTGATGAACCACAATTTTTGTTTCTTCGTTTGTTTGGTGAGGAAGATTTGCCCTGAGCTAACATCTGTTGCCAATCTTCCTCTGTTTTCGCTTGAGGAAGATTAGCCCTGAGCTAATATCTGTGCCAATCTTCCTCTATTTTGTATGTGGGATGCTGACCCAGCATGGCTTGATGAGTGGTGTAGGTCCATGCCCGGGATCCAAACCCCCGAACCTGGGTTGCTGAAGCAAAGTGCACCAGACTTAACCACCACACCACAGGGCCAGACCACAATTTTTTTGTTTTAATATGCATTTATTTTCTTACTAGTGAGGTGGAACTTTTTTATGTTTATTTTTCTTATTTTATGTTATTTTTGTTTCTTCTATTAAGTGGTTTTTTATGGCCTCTGTCCATTTTTTATTGCTTTATGTTTTCTTATTGATTCACATGTGCTCTTTACATGTTATAGATATTATCTTTCATACATTGCAGATATTTTCCCTTAGTTTGCAAAAGTAAATGTATTTTGTCTCTGTTTATAATATTGCTGGCTGTGAAGAAGTTGTAAAAAGTTTATGTAGTTTAATGTGACATGCTTTTCCCATAGTTTCTTGGTTTTATAGTATTTAGAAAGGCCTTCCTACCAAGGCCATAAAAAATTCTATTAGATTTTGCTCTTTTTGCATTTAAAAGTTTTAAATTTTTGATCCCTCAGGAATTCACTTTGTGTATAACTTGAAGTACCAATCTGACCTATTTTTTTCTAAAATGTTAATTTGTCAGTGCATCATTTTTTATAATAATAAAAAATTGAGACCCAACTAAAATATTGAACAACACAGGAATGGTTAAGTTTATCATTCATTCATTAAAAGTGATCTTTTGGAAGTGTTTTAATAATGCAGAAATAAACTAATTATGTAATTTTCCTTAAAAAGCTAGCCATAAAACTATATGTAATACCTCCACGATGTAGAACAAATACATATATAGAAAAAAGGACATAAATTTAGTTAAATGTTGAGAATAACATCTCTTTGAATTAGGACTCCAGGTGACAATTTTTTTCTGCCTTTTTTCTGTTCTCCTCCATAGGCACACGTACTTTTAGAATCATAACAAAGTTGTTAAAAACAAACATTATTAAAAACTAATGAGGACAAAGGATAATAAGGACAGAGCCCCTGATGATAAAAAACTCATTTGGTCCTTACCATTTGGATGAAAAGGAATTGTTCTAAATTTCACAGTTGGAGGGACAAAATTGTACTCCGGTGTAAAATTTATCGTTAGTTGGAAGGGTAATCCTACGAAGTAGAAATGAACATTTGTATTAAAGTGTCATATTTACTGATTAACTGAAGTCTCTTCCTACAGATTAGCTTCCCCATGGTCCCTAGAGTCTTATTTGTAGGTAAACTGGATCGTAGGGTGCATAGACCCTTGAGATAGTATAACAGATCCTCGCAGTCTAATTCCACTATGTTTCAGCCTGTTTCCCACCAGTTCTCCATCCACTAACTCCATCCGTCTACACCCACCCCTTCACTGTACATCTCAAAGGGACTGAACTCACTGTTCCAGAGCCCTCTCTTGTCTCTACACCTCTGCCGTGCTGTTCTCTCTCCCTGAATTTCCTTCCCCTCCTTCTAAACCTGGCAAGCTCTTCTGCGTTCTTTAGGACTCACCTCAGATGTGACTCCCTTGGGAAGGCAGTCCTGACTCTCAAAGGCAACATTAACTAACCACTGCCTTCTCGGCATTCCCTTCAAAATCCAGAACAGCTCACGTGACATTTTACTGTAACTATCTGCTTCCATGTTTTTCTCCTCTGCCTCACTCAACGAATCTATCTTGTTAATCCCCGACTTAAAGATTGCATAGTCATTGCAGTTTAGAGTGGCTCAGTCTTCCGGAGAATTTGATTTATGGAAATTTGGTGGAAAATCATAGAGAAAAAAATGAGGGATAATTGTGGGATTTTGATGCCCATAGGAATTTTGATAGCTATTTTCTGATTTCACGGAAGACTGTTAGGTGATATTCTCAATTCATATACTTCATTGTGTCTGCTTCTTTAAAATGTAATAACATTAAGATTTGGCATAAAGGAAAATTCAAACCTAAAATTTCCATCTATGTTGACAAATGGCAAAAAAAATTAAGCCATATAATGAAAAACTGACATGTGAAAACTTTTAGAATTCCAGAAAATGTATATAATACAATCTCACTACAGGCACAAAGAAGATAGGTTAATAACGGTATAAAGATTTGTTTGAAGTAGATCAGTTTTGAAAACACAAACCGTGCCAAATGGTATTCTGCAGGCCTTCAATTTCAGCTTCCCATTCCAACAGATCTTCACTTACAGGAAAGGCAGCAATACCCTTTAATTTCAAAAAAAAATCAAGGCAGAAAAAAGGATTAAATATTTACTGCAGATTTGAAAATCACATATTAGGTTATGATGAATTCCAAAAACTCTGTATTTTCTTTTCCTGATAAATTGATTTATTTGTTGATTTGGGGAGGTATTATATATTGCCTTAGGACACAGATGGTAAAGTAGATTCCACGAAACACGCAACAGTAAATTTAAAATAAATTGTAAGCACGGAAGTCACAAGTGGGGCAGGAAGGTCAAGACTGGGATGTGTGGCTTACGTAAGTCAGTCGCCAATTTCAGATTCAAATTAGAAAAGAAGGAGGTAATTGGAAAGCATGGGTTTCTTCAAAATTTTAAAAAATCCTGTGAATGCTATGTGGAAGGCATGAAGTAAGAACATTTTCATTAAGAAAAACGCAACACCAACACTACGCTTGTACGTAAAAGTAAATGTTTCCTCTACTTGAGGTATTGTCCCAATGCCAAGAGACAAGAACGTACTTCATAGAAAACCTCATCGATTACGCTAAGGGATACACTCAGATACACTCAATAAATATTTCTGAGCAACCACATCGTTATTAAATATGTTAGGTGCTAGTCTGTATAAACATTATAATATATTCTATTATCCACATTCTCTATATTTACACATCCTTTCTCCCTTCATTGAATTCTCTTTCAACAGAGAACCTTGAAGGTCAGGCACAGCGGAAACAAGATCAAATGTGAGGTTCTTGTCTCAGGGACGTTTGTTGTCGGACTCAATAATTGCTCCTAGCATCTCCAGCGAGGCTGAACTGCACTGGACCACACTGGAAGCAACCGTTGGGAACACTCTACACCCTCCTTCTATGGACAATTTTCTTCTGTTTTTTCTCTTGGGTACTCCCTTCCCCTTGCTCTTCCATTTTTATTCTCCATACTGTATGAGATGTCAGCCTGTGGTACCTGTGGACACTGACAACCTCATTAGTGGCATTCGGGGCAAGGTCTTCCTCTGTGTTAAAATGATAAGGGAAAGGGATTTCTGTTTTATATGTGACAGCCGTTGGCAAAAAGTGCATAGATGGCATGTAGTAGGACCAAGACTGAAGAGCACAGAGGATGGACTCCTGGGGTCAAATATTTACTGAACTTCTCTCTGAGCTTTGGGTTCACGGAAGGTATAGCAAAACACGACTTACATTATAGTACTGGGCTTAATGTGTAACCCTGAACTATTAGTGCCTTACTGCGTGACAGATCCAGATATTCGAGGCTTAAACATACAAAAATGACTCAAGCACAATGTGCTCAATATTGTTACCTATTATTATGAAATAGATTGTTATAGTGAAATGCATTTGTTAAATAACAGTACTGCAGTGACAAACTACGTGTAACTAAAGTACGCCTTATAGAATAAACATGGATTCAACGGATTTTCAGAAATCTGTACCCCGATGAAACACGTCCCTCAGGTCCCCAGTACTGACCGGATAATTGTTCTCCTTCAACTCCAGGAAGTCTTTCTCCAGCAAGAAGTAGGCTCTGCAGTGCATGATAAGGCAGCAGAGGATCTGTCCCCACGCTCCACGGGGTGACTCTGAGGCAAGCGTCTGAGGTTTAGGGGTCACCCTCCACACCCAGGCAACTGACATAAGTTACTGGCTTCCTAGAGCTCCAGAACGCGGGGTGCTCCCAGGATGAGTGGCTTCTACGTCGGGCATACAACGGTGACTTTCTTTTCTCCTCTGACTCCACTAAACGAGGACTTCCAGGAGGAAAACGTGGACGCCTTCTCGACCGCGGCGTGCCGCTGCAGGGCCAGTCCACAGCCCAGCCCGGCCTTATCAAGGCGCACCTGGCTGAGCACCTGGGAGCCCCGTGTTGCCTGCGCGCGCCGCAGCCCCAGCCGCGGATGTCCCGGCCTCGCAGGTGTAGCCGCGGCCCGCTTAGCTGGAGGACGCAAATCGGTTGCCAAGCAACAGGATCCCGCAGGAAAGGAGAGAGAAGGAGGTGGGAGCTTGGCCGCCCCTCATCCAATCAGCGACAGGGGGAGGGCCCCTGGAAACCTCGGCAGCCAATCGTCCATCGGTTTCACTTTGAAAGACCAATGAGAGATCCGTTGTCAAGGCAACACCCTCCTCCCCGCTCGCTCAGCCCGCCAACGTGGACTTTACGCAACTAGCGTAAAGGGTCGGGGTAAAGTGCCAGGATCGGCCTGTACGTCACAGGAGCCTTCGTTCGAAGTCCCTCTCGGAAATGATCCTTCCTTTTTCTTTGAATACCAGAAACTCTCAGATAATAAGTGACCAGCAGATACAGGCCTGCGCTTATTAATAATCGCTTACTTGGTAAATCCCATTCATGACACGTTCGCCTGCATTGTGATGTCATCGACTCCTGCAGTTACCCCGGGAGAATGCGCCAGGAACAGGGAACTACTCACAATTTCTCAGATTCCCATCTCTTGCAGCAGAGTTTTGCACCTGCTGTTCCTTCTGTCTAGACATTCATCCACCCTTCCTCCCCACATTTGTCCTTCTCTCATCGGTCGGACTTAACTTTACCTACGACTCCTTATGGGACCCCCGAAGACAAGGTGAGGCTCCTCTCTTCTGTCATCCTAGAGGACCCTGTGTTTACCTCTTGGTTAGCATTCCCACGCTGTGTCGCAATGGCCTATGGTCTTCTCCAGCAGAGTGTGAGCTACTTAAAGGCATTAATTTGCCAGCCCCGACTACAGAAACTGGCATCCTTGTTCAGAGCAATTTTTTTTTTTACTTATTATTTATTTACTAATTTTGTGGAAACAGGGTATCAGTTCAATTAGTTCATTTCACAAGTATTTATTGAGCACTTACTAAGTGCTGTGGAATGATTCAAGTGAAGTGACTGCCTTTACGGCTCCAGTATACAATAAACAAGTATACAAAAACAAAACAAGTATACAAAACAAGAGTCATACCTTCAGATCATGATAAGTGCTATGTAGACAATAGAACAGTAATGTGAGAGAGAATGGAGTAGGTTGTTGGGGGTTAGAAGTGGGGGTCCAGGAAGGCCTCTGCTGGGAGCAGACTTTTGAGGTGATCCGTGAAAGATAGGAAGAGGAAGAATCAGCTATGTGAAATATTGAGGGCAGAGAGTTTTGAGAAGAAGAAAACACAATAGTTCTCAATCAGGAAAAAGCGAGGCTTGAAGAGGGAACCAGGGCGGGCCTGAGAGAGCAGAGGGAAGAGTGAAAACGCTGGGGCCTGACATAGCGCGTCTGGGGGTTTTATGTGACTAGCACTGGGAATCCTTTGGATGGTTTTAAGTATGAGAGCATCATGCTCTGATTTACATTTACGAAATGACGCTGGCTCCTTTGTGGAGAACGGATTGTGGGGGATACGGGTTGGAAGGCTCCCACGGTCAATTTCACGTCCAGGTACGGTAGCTTAGAAGTTCCCAGCAATGTATTAACTTTACTAACACTTTGGCACAATAAAATGATTTGATTCTATGTTTCATAAAACTGAATATAAAGGAATGTTTCCTATTAAAATATCAACTAGGATCTGAGACTGATCTTTTTGGCTCTCCTTTCTATCCCAACAGATCTTAACTTGGATTTATGCACGACTGGGCATGTGAGGTGAAAGGGAAGAAAGGGGTGCGTCAGTGAGAGGGAAATGGACCCGATTTGGGATCTTGACTAGGTTACTTGAGGGTATCATGGTGGTCCGTGGTCCATCCTTCTACTCTGATCAGGGAATACTGTGATAGTAAGCACAGAATCCTTTGCTTTTTGTTTAAAATTTTGCTCTAGGGGAAATTATGTTAAAGTAAAAGAAAAAGATAAAATGAAAACCTTCTTTGTTCTGAATTTTTGGAAATTGGTATTGATATGGTACTTTAGTGCAATGAAAATCAAGTTGGTAGATTCTCACATGACCCCCCAAATCTGTATTGCTAGCCTTGACCTCTCCTCGGGACTTCAGACTAGTAGACCCAATTACCTAGTCATCGCCCAGCTGTCCCAAGGCCATTTCAAACTCAAAACGTCCCCAGACAAACTCATTACCTTTCCTCCTCTCAACTAGCCTTCTGTCCCATTTGGTTCAGCAAGTTCCTCAAGCTGGAAACTTGCAGTCTGCTCTGACACCTCCTCCTCCTCATGGCTCACATTCACTCACTCATTAAGACCTGCCGTGACACTTCACAGTAACATCTTTAAACAGACATGTGATCTTGTAATTTTCTGCTTAAAATGCTCCAAGGGGTGCCCTTCACCACCCAGCTCACCTTCCCTCCATCTTCAGAATTTTAAAAGTGGGCTGACTGCTGGGGTGTGGGTAGGGTGGCTGAAATCATGGGCAAATGTGTATGTGTCTATGTATCTGCATGAGTATGTGTGTGCATGTAGACTCTTTTTTTGGTAAACCAGGGGCCGTGGAATTCAATAGTTTTAATAATAGTCTGTGATGTAAAGAGCTCAAGAAACCATGCGCCACAGAGTTAACGCCAAGCGTCCTAACGTGGCACTGCAAAACCTCCCACGATATTGTTCCTGTCTGCCCCTTCCTTTTTGATGCCCATTCTGCTTCACATTTGAGATACCTGCACCTTTGAACGCTTGTCTTTTTCCTGTATCTACCAGCTTGCCTAGGCGCATGCCGTCTTCTCTACCTGGACCGCCTTCTTCTTCTTTTTCTCCTTCTCTTTCTTCTTGTCATCATTATTACCATCTGGCTAACCAGCCCTTACACATCCTGACAGACAAAAATTCCTTCTTGGAGCACCCTGAACCGCCAGGAGGGGTTGTGTTCTCATTTAACGTGGGCACGTCTTTGTGTCTTATTACCACATTATCTGTTTGTGGGGTTTTCTTCCCACCAGAATGTGAGTTCCCGAGGGCCTGGAGACTTGGTTACTCAGCACTGCACTGCCAGCACCAGGCGCCTGCTCAGAGGAGGCGTCGGTGTATGCTGACTGAATCGAACTTAGCGGAATGAAGAGTTCTGGGGCCAGGAGAGTGACCTGTAATGAAAGAACGACATGAGAGGAAGGGTTTGCTTAGATGTGGCGTGGGGGGTGATTTAGAGGAGGTCGGCCAGCCCTCAGGGACACGGAGGCTCAAGTCTGGAGGACAGTGACAGATAGAGTGGACAATCGAGCAGAAAGACCGTGAGAGCAAGAGCCTCCAGAGCAGAGGGTCCCGGGGCTGCCGTCAGGGCGTAGGTTGTAAGCACAGTCCCCAGGACACCAAAGAGGAAGGTGCAAGCACTTGGAAAGGTCTTGCACCTGGCGGGCCTCAGGGGACAAACAGTGAGGACTCCCAGAAATATTTTGGAAATGGAATTGTTGGGAAAGACAGAGCTTCCGGTGGGAACTGGGCTCTCCTGAGTTTGGAGCTACCAAGTAAACAGGGTCACAGTCGTACTTCCTGGCTGGCCACCATCCTCTGTTCTTACAGGTAGCTTAGCTCCTGTGTGGATGGGAGATGGGCTTCCATTATGGGGGCTCCTGAGCTGAAGAGTGGACCTAAGACTTGGCGAGGAGCAAGATGAAGTGTGTGTGTGTGTGTGTGTGTGTGTGTTTAGCATCTAGCATGTGTGCAGCAACTGGCTAGGTTTGCCTCCTACACTTAACAGCAGCAGAGCAGGAGAAGCATAGCATCAGCTGATCGGATATCTGGGTCACTTGAAATCAGAAACTTATGATTAGAACCTACCTAAAAATAATTCTCTCTGTCTGGACTTACCTTCCATTTGTTATAGCAAATGTCAGTTTTAATAAAATTACCACATTCACAATAGCATTGATGTCACATCTTTGCCACTTCTCACTGCCAGGCCGTATCTGTCTCTGCCTTATTCATCAGATTTGGTGTTGTGGTCATTTGTTTTTACATGAACCAGCACAACCGGGAAAATAAATCTCATCTGTATCCTTCTGCTATCTTAATGTGTTAGTAAGTCTGGTGGTAAATAACACGGGCCCTCGAGACAGACCTGGTTGCACGCCAGCACACCTCTGTTGGAATACCTATAAAGCCTTGAAGACGTCACTAGCCTCCATGGGTGTACATTTTCTCATCTATAATATGCAGCCTGTAATAATACCTCCCTCAGGATCCTTGTGAGGATTAAAGGGAATAATGCCCGCCAAGCACTCAGTCACTGCCTGGCACAGAGTGAGTGAGTGTCGACACCTGCATTTCCCATGTGCTGGGCCTGCCGTTCTAAGTGTTTTGCAGGAATTAATTTCATCCTCAAAAACAGCTCCATGAGTTAGGTACTCTTATGAGTCTAATTTTTGTAGTAAGGGGAACTGAAGCACAGAGGTGCTAGATCCTTTACCCGAGGTCACACAGCTGGAATGCAGCTGACCAGGATATCTAGCTCCAGAGTCCATGCTTCTAACCACTAGGCAGCCCAGCCCCACAAGGTCTCCTGTTCTACCAAGGAGCTATCTGGCCTTCTTCAATAAATTACTGCTGCTCTCAATAGTTTTCTTTGTGCGTCTGTTGTTTCTGTTTTTGTTAATTTTGGCTGAATTTCTACCTGTCAACTTTCTGAGTCCCCCTCAACTAAAGTGTAAACCCAAGAAAGCCGGACCCCCGCTGTATAAAATGGTGCCCAGCTCATAATGGAAGTCCAATACGTACCTGTTAATTAAACGTGTGCTCTGCCTTCCCCTTGAGGTCATAGATTCATTCAGAACTCAGTCTGACTTCTGTGACCTACTAGTACTCTGTATATAGCTCAAAAAAATACTTACCAACTGCTAAATAATTATTTTGATATTGACTTTTGTTGCTTCTGTACCTTCAAGTGGAGAGGAGATCTAATTAAGTCCTACTATATGCTTTCTGGGGCTTTCTCTCCCAGTCTTTCCCTCTAAAAATGAGCCTAGAGGTTTGAGAAAGGAAACGTTGTGCTGTGTTCCTTGTGGCAGGCAGAGCTCT